TTTAAAATTTTTAATAGCACTGGCTTATACTGTTCCTTTTAAGACTTTATTGCTAATAGTATATTGCTTTGATATTTCCTGGAAGTTTCCACAAGTAATCTTTAACAGCTTGTGTATCTCTTCTTTAGAGGATTTTAGGTTTTTAGCAAGCAGAAGAGTATCCTGGATGTTAGGGACCTCATCCCAGAGATTCTATAATATGTTGATTGGCTTTTTCTTAGGAGTCATAGACTTTACCTGGTCTGTTATGTGCTATGGATTGTTCTTAGCTTAAAGGTGTCACTAGCATGGCCATAACTAGTTGAATCCAGTCAAAAGATAGAAACACCTTGTATGGAAATTATAGAATATCATCTATCCAGTTTTTAGGTAATATAGAAGTCCTCTCATAGTAACTATTTAAACAGAAAAGATGCTAGACATGCACATTATTGGCACAGAAAGGTGGTATGCCCAAGCTATAGATCTTGGGCTTGAAATTATATCTCTAAACCTGTACAGCATATATAGAAATCATGAAGTAAATCAGCCCTATAAGGAGAGGTAACAGCATGATGGGAAAAGTAGGCTGAAGCCAGAGCCTGGGATTGAAGCCTGGTTCCACTATTTATTAGCTATGTGATTGTGGGAACTTTCCTTTACCTCTTTCTTCCTCAGTTTCCTCGCCTATAAAATGAGGGTAATAATGGCACCTACTTCATAAAGTTCTTTGACTATTAAATAACATTTGTAAGGTACTTAGAACCACATGTGGCACATGATATGTGCGAATAAGGTTTATGGCCATCTGTACGTAAGATGTAGGGTTTGTAGTACTTTGACATATTGAACAACCTCAGCTGATTAATTTGTGATCCTAATGTGAAATGTATTCTTGAGTAATTAGGTTTTAGATTCAATTATTAATTTAAGGATGTAAGAAAACTTTGCTGTTTGAAAAGAGTGTTGGAATACTTAAGAACTTCTTGAGATACACTAAAATTCATCAGTTTAACTTGTTAGATTTACCAGAGTTTTTTCATTACTTAAAGATTTGCTTGGTAGGCAATCAAAGTGCTAGAACAAGAAAATATTTAAGATTGTAGATCTAATTTGAAGTCTGACAGAAACACAAAACTTAGGATAGTGGTTACAGGGGATTCAACTGTATTGTCGTGTTTTGTATTTTAAATAGGGTGGTAAGTATAAATTTTTTTATTGTCTAAATCTTTGTTTCCAGTATATTTTTTAATTTAATAAATTTGTTACAGAAACTAAGGGCAATCTTAGTTATAAGTTGAACATAAGGTCTTAAGTCTTCATTTAAATCCAGGTAATATAGTCTCTTTGTGCATAAAACCTGTTCTTGGACATAAGTTATATTGACAGAAAGGTACTGAAGGCAGTAAATTGGGGATGTCAAGTAGAAAAGACAGGAAATTCTGTCCGAGCAATTATGATCTTGTCACTGCTGCCATTGTGCTGTTATATGCCTGCCTGTTAGCCTGGCCTCAGCAGTTCATAGGGGAGAAGGAAAGAAAGGGGAAGGAATCAGAGCTCCAGCCTTGCCTTGGAATTGGCGTGCCCTCTTCTCTCCTGCATCTCTTCTCTCATTATGGCTTTCTTTCAAGATAGAAGAAATGAGGAACAGAAGTGGTTCTGCCAATAGACATCTTTCAATTTTATGCCTTCTCCAACTTGTGCATTTTTTTGCCTTAAATTCTATTTTGTAGGCTATTAATACAGTTTCACCAGCTCTCTTTTGGGTATGTCTCTCTTTCCATCCTTTGCCCATTTTTCTTTTGGGTTGGTTTCATGCATTTTTATAAGCCCTCATTGAATATTGTGATAAGGACTCTGTGTGGTATGTTGCAACTACAATTTTTCAAATTTATTTTTTATAGGATCTCTTGCCATACAAAAGTTTTTGTTTTTTGTATTGGGGAGGGAGTTGGTAATCACATTTTTGTCTTTCTCTTCTCTTTTAGCTTTCGGGTTTTTTGGTCCTGATGATAAAGGCTTCTCTACCCCAAGATTGTAAGTCCCCTAGAATATTCTTCAAAAATAATAATGTTGTGATTGAGTCTCTCATCCATGAAATGAAAGGTTATACTAAATCATTCATTCCCAAACATAGCCAGTCTACAGGATCACTTGAGGAGCTTATTAAAAATTCTCAGATCCTACCCCAGACTTACTGAATCAGAATCTCTGGAGAATGGGGCCCAAGAATATGTTTTTAACAAGTTCTTCTGGATGACTCTGATTATTGGTTAGACCTGAGAACCACTGGACAGTATAATTCCAAAAATATCCAAAGATATCCAAATGATATCTTATTCCAAAAATATCATTTTTCTGATTATATAACTCTTGTGTTTTGATTTTTCTCAGTTAGGTTGTATACTCTTTATATGAAGAGAGGACTGTGTCTTAAGTACTGCCCTTCTTGGATTTAACCTATTGAGATCCTATTACTTCACACTTGGACAATTCTAGTAGCCTCGTCTTTTAACTATTCCAGTCCATCTGTGGTGGTATTTATCTTCAAACATATTGAACATACACCCTCCATATGTAAAAACTTTGGCTACAAGACAAAATCCTAACTCTATTTTACATAATAATTCAAGACTCCATAGGTTCGCTCCATCTTATTTTTCAACTTTATCTTCCCCCAGGGCTATTGTGTATAGTCATCTAAGTTGTGCGTTGCAAAGCTTAGACAGTGGTATACATGGGGTTCCCTGGAGTTGTAGGACATAATGGTGACCCTGATTTCCCCACACTTTTACATTAACCCTTCACTGTAGCCTGATTAGTCTCTCACCCACCCCAGTTTTATGTAGTAATAAAGCCTTGTTCACTCTTACTTTCCTGCCTGTTCTGTGCCATCTGCACTGTCCAGCATGCCCTTTCCTCTTTTCTCTGTCAAAGTTCTACATATTAACATCTGCACAGTGGAGAGTATTACATAGTAATAAAAAGAATGAGGATGGTTTCTAATCACTCCTTGGGAGTGAATTCCAGGATATATTGGTAAGTAACAATAGTAAAGGACAGGATTGGATATGGTGTTCCATCTTTGTAAAAGAAAAAGAGGAATTAAGAATTTATATGTATATACACATTTTATGCTTATTTCTTCAAAGAGAAACATGGAGGATAAACAGAAATTAATACAACTAATTATCTGTAGGGAATAGATGGGGAAAATTTGAGGGAAAAGGGAAGGGAATAACACTTCCACTGAGCATTCCGTTCTTGTAACACTTTAACTTATGAACCATGTAATAAATGTTTTACATAGTAAGTATAAAGAGAAATGAACCTAACCTACAGGACACACAGAGAAGAAATAACTTGAACGTACCATACTGATAGTACATCCCTGTTGAGATGTATTTTGAGGATAAAAAGAACTGCCCCCCGGTAGACATTTAAAACTTAGTATGTTTATTGTGAGTAATAATGTTGACGTTATAATTTTGAAACTAGTTTATGAACCAAGATTTTCCATTGTGAGGGAAGAGATGCTAATATAAGGAAAAACTATAGTGTTGAATTTGAGTTGAAAATATCAGTATAAACTCATGCTTGTTTAAAAAAAAAAATCCCCAACTTTATCTACTGAAATGGCTTAGAAGCAGTGACCCCCCCAGTAGCTATGAGGACAGCTAGTGCTCAGATACTGATATATAAATGCCATTGGCCACTAAAAGGAACAAAGTCTCCAGGGAGAAGTGGCTGATTCCAGGTCTGGAGCAGAGATGGTAAAAGGTATGCTTGGAGAAATCTTCTGCCAGAAGTAGCCTCAAGAGCAAATAGAATTATGTTAAAATGACAGACAGTGGGTTGAAGAGAACCCCACTAGCCATATTTGGGACAGTTTGAACCAAAAATTGGGGACAATTTGAAAAAAAAATCATGGTAATGGATTATTGTACTAGATTAAAACAAATCTTTGAGTTCATAATGATACTTAAGGAGAAAGAAGGGAAGGATGTAGAAATAGTTCTACTTCATGGAAGACTGCTGTACAGTAGATGTAGGAGGAATAACACAAATAGCCATCATTGTGTAGTCCCAAATGTAATAACTGATTCAGGCAGGAATCATTAATAGATTGCGAAAAACACTGGGTGAAAGGTTATTGGGAGATAGAGTATTACATCTCTCTTTACAGTGGAGAGAGATGTATAGTCACCATTTAACCATGTGGCCAGGCTTTAGTAGGGTATCATGACACTATGCCTCTGATGTGATGGCAGTTTGGAAGGCTACAACTGCCATCTGTGTAGTATTCCAGTTTAGACACACAGGAGAAAATTTTTTACTCCTGTGGAAACCATGAGAGAGCCAGGATGATGGAACTGACCTAGTCTCTTTTAAAATGTCAATTTCATTTTTTAGAAAAAGATGGAGGGAGGGGATATGCAAGAATAAAAAATTTGGAACAACTAGGGGCACCTGGGTGGCTCAGTTGGTTAAGCGTATGATTGGCTCAGGTCATGATCTCACGGTCTGTGGGTTTCAGCCCCGCATTGGGCTCTGTGCTGACAGGTCAGATTCTGGGGCTTGCTTTGGATTCTGTGTCTCCCTTTCTATATCCTCCCCTGCTCATGCTCTGTGTGAAAAAATAAAACATTTTTAAAAAATTCAGAACAACTAAATGCAAGAAACAAGCCGTAATTATGGATCCCCAAAAATGTCTATAAAAGAAGATAAGCCAAATTAGTAAATTTGATGATGGATTGTGTATTGAGATTATGGAATTGTTCATTTTCTTAGATGTGAAAATGGTACTGTTGTGTTTTGTAGGAGAATGTTGTAATTCATAGACTATGCATACTGAAGTGTTAGGGATGAAGTGTGATATCTGTAATTCTCAGGTGATTTGGGAAATGTGTGTGGAGGGGGAAGGAATGCAAGGTGCACACAAATGAGGCAGGATGGTCATTGGTAAGTCTGAGGGTATACATCCATGCACTGATTGTAATGATTTTTCCATTTTCCTATAGATTTGAAAAGTGTCAAAATAGAAAATTGGGGAGAAAATCTCTTCAGAGCCCTGCGCAGATTTTGTCTCATGAAGACTTCTTTTTCCCAGGCACGCTAGCTAGAGGTGATTTTCTCATATGAATTTTTATGACTTTTATGTTTCTCTTATCCCCAAACCTAAATGCACATGAGAGCTGCCTGAGATGACTTTTGTAAAAAAAATTACCAACTGCCTGACCACACAGTAAACCTATGGCAATATACTCCGGGAAAATAGGCCTGATATTTGAACCAAGGGTTAGAACCGCTTATTCTGTATGTTTTAGCTAAATTTATTTGTCTTTTTCACATATCCCCACCTAGCCAGCGTGGGAGCTTAGGATCAACCCTGAAAGTGTTGCTAAATCCTTTAGGTCCGTTTTTGCTGGCACACACTCTTAGGTATATTCCACACAGTAGGTGTTTGGTAAATAGATGCTGACTGTGTTCTGTAATTTGTTGATACTTTGAAGAGATTACCAGAAACGTCTCTAAATCTTGAGAGATTAAAATAACCTATTTCATAAAAGTGCTTAGTCAATTCAAAAGATTCATGTGAAAGCTGTGTAGTTTTTAGTTCTAAAATTACAGGTTTGGTTTATAAGAATAACATGTCTGTTGTCGTTAAATGTTTGAAATTAAGAGTTACCAGTGGAATCATAATTGAATTCCATTACGTATGCAAACAGACATACTCAGAACCCAGTACTTAACAAAAAAAATATAAATACACAGAGATAAAGGGTTGTTGATATTGGAATTGAGATGAGGATTAATGTGGTAGCTAGATAATAATGCAAGAAAGAAACTAGCAGAGATTAAAATTTTTTTGAGTATGATTTTTATAAGCTTGAAGCTAGGTTTGAATATATGAATAATAGTAACAGCTAAAAATTTTTCAGTGTTTAACTTATGCCACAGACTGTGCTTAATCTAAAGTATTTCTGATCCTTAAAACAGCTCTTCCAAAGAGATAGTATTAATAACTTACAGATGAGAAAATTGAATCTCAGAAAAGTTAGTCATGTGCCCAGATTTACGTAGCTAGTAAGTGGTAGAATCACGAACCGAACTATTCAGTCAAGCTTCAAACCACTTGCTGGCAAATATGGGGGAGGCATGATCGGGTATGGTTAACTATAGCTTCCCTTAAATTGAGTCTTTGTGAAGAAATGGTATGGTAAATGGGAAAATGTTTCATAGCCTTGAAAAGAAATAAAAACAAAAGATAAAGCAGGGGAGAAGGGTTAATCTTTACTAGGGGTTAAACAAACAGTTGCATAGGCTCATAGGGAGAGTATGTAAGAAGGGCATGTATTGACCAGTATTCAAAAAGTACAGTATCATGAGTTCTTTTTCTGCACGGAAAAAGTCTTCTGGTATAGCTGCAGTATTAACCTAGACCACATAATCTATCTTTAATCCGTATAATGTATATGTATGTGTTAAAATAGCTGAAGTAAGCTTACATTTTACTGTTGAATTAAAAATTTGATTAAACATTGTCTCAACAATAAACAGCAAAATTACTTGTGTTAATAGTTTCAGTTATCCAGGGGCGCCTGGGTGGCTTAGTCGGTTAAGCATCCGACTTTCGCTTAGGTCATGATCTCGCGGTTCGTGGGTTCGAGCCCCGCGTCGGGCTCTGTGCTGCCAGCCCAGAGCCTGGAGCCTGTTTCAGAGTCTATGACTCCCTCTCTCTCTGACCCTCCCCTGCTCACGCTGTCTCTCTCTCTCTCCTAGAAATAAATAAAACATTAAAAAAAAAAAAATAGTTTCAGTTATCCAAACATTTTTAATACTCCATTGGAATGAGTTATGGCAGTAATCTTTTTAGGTAAAGCAGATTTTTACTTCCTATAATAAAAGAACAAACAAGGGCACCTAGCTGGCTCAGTTGGTGGAACATGTGACTCTTGATCTCGGGGTTGTGTGTTCGAGCCCCACACTGGGTGTAGAGATTGCTTAAAAAATACTTGGGTGGCTCAGTCAGCTAAGCATCTGACTCTTGATTTTAGGCTCTGGTCATGATCTCACAATTCATGGGTTCAAGCCCCGTGTTGGGCTCTGCTCTGACATTGCGGAGCCTGCTTGGGATTCTCTCTCCCTTTCTCTCTGACCCTCCCCTGCTTGCTCTTTCTCTCTCAAAAATAAATAAACATTAAAAAAATAAAATAAAATCTTTAAAAAAAAAAAGGAACAAAGCTACATTCTAGGTAACAAACTAGTACAGAGAATCTGTGTGCAACTGCTATTCATTAAATGTAATGTTCTAGGACTCTTTCACAGTAATTCTAAACTAATTAAATATGTTACTCATTGAAGAAAAAATATAAGTAGTTACGACATAATTTTTTAAATCCCAAGAAAAAATTTCCCTGTTAACAAAAAATATCATTTTGGAACTTCTAGATAAGTGACAGAAAAATGATGGCAAGATTGTTAAACTGAAATTCTACATGACCTTGGCACAGAAATAGCTGAATCAGTGGAACAGAGTGTAAAACCAGGTCAAGCATTTATTATTATGTGTTAGTGTTTGATGAAGGTGACACCTCAAATCAGAATGGAAAAAACTGACTCTTCAGAATACCTTAAGGCAGTTAATTTGAATTTTAGTAAATCCACATCTCATGCTATATGCAAAACAAATTCTATATGGGTTAAAGATTATAAAAAAAGAAACAAACACAAAGTCAGTTGAGTGAAAGTTGGTATAACCAAATTATATGTACCATTGAGAATGATGTAAGAGTGTGATTATTGACATGAAGCCAAAATCATGTTACGTTGAGAAATGCAGCATAGTATTTACAGAATTTCAAATTGTGAAAAATAAAATATTAGGAAAGTCTGGAAGATGAATTATGGGAGGTTTTTGTCTTTTCAGTATTTTCTGCCAAAAACGATAAACCTGTATTACCTGAGTGCAGGATTATTGTCTTTTTTAAAGTTCTGCAGGACTAAAAAAGCTAAAGAAAAGACAGTTTGCTAGTAGAAGAGGAAGATGTGGTATCTTCCTGAGGAGAAAAATGGAAAGACACAGAAGGTCAAGTGCAAATGAAGTGAGGCAACGGAGGCAAAAAATAATTTGTAGAATCCCAGAAACACAATATGTTGTCATTTCACTGAATTAAAATGAGAAAGGTAACTGAGAAGGTAACTGAAGTCAATAGAACCATACAAGAGTCAGGACATAGTAAGTGTATTTAAAAGTGGGGGGGGGGGGTGAGTATGATGAGCTTAGGGAGCTGAAAAATGCTAGCTATGCAGTTGTATAAGGGAGATTAACACCAGTCTCCACATTTATCACCTGCCTTTTGTATAGTGTTTTGTGATTTTTTTTTTTTTTGAGAGCTTTTCCGTGCATCCTATTTGAGAAAAGTTTGTCTAACAGTAATGGCAGATATCATCCTCTGTTTTTATGGATGGAAACCATGAAGCTTATAGAATGTTTTGGTGACATGGCTAGTTAATAATGAAGCCAAAGCCAGCACCTGTTTTGCTTATTTTGTGGGTGGTCTTGTATGATTATACCTTGTGCTCACACACTTGCAGGGGGAAGAGAGCAAGTTTTGGAAAACATCCAGTGATTCTAGTCCAGCTTGACAAACTGGATATGAGTAAATCACAGCTATTACCTAATACCTACCCACCATGGTTGTCTTTCCCTACACACCCAAAACTTTTAAGGCTTTCAAAGGTGAAATTTTAGAAGTATTGATGAAAATAACTAAGTGAACTATGATAGCTCATTTTAATGTAATTTATCAGATCAGCAAAGACGAAGAAAACTGAAACAGTATTAGCAGGGTTCTGGAGAATGGATGCTCTGTGCTGCTGGAAAGAGCATAAACTGGCATCTTTACCGAGGACAGTCTGGCAGTACCTATCAAAACTTAAAAATTGTTTACCTTTTTCCATATCAGTTTTACTTATAGGAGTTTATTCCAAGAATATTGTGGGGAGATGCCCAGAGATAACATGTGCAAAGAGTTTACCACAGCTTTGTTGATTTTTAAAGTATTTATATTTTTCTACATTGACTGAAATTTTTTCAGTGAGTACTTATGGCTTTTATATGTAGTGAAATACTAATAACGCTATTTCATAGAAAAATATAACCATTGTGTCACAGCATTCTTACATTACTACCATAACTCCTACAGGGCAAGAACAGCAGCTATGACCCTGGATATTACTGGCTTTCTCTTTCATTTGTAACAGTAGTTCTGTAGTCAGTCATAGATGAAAGGCAAGATGGTTCGGGGGAAGCAGTATGATTGGATGGAAAGAATATGGGAATCCAAGAACCTAAGTTAGCATCCACCTTTGCCTCTTAGCTAGAGTTAGGATTTGAGGCAAATTGCTAACATCTCTAAAGGTTGATTTGCATCCCCACCCCACAATTTGAGTGAGGATAATTAAAGTAACTCTCCTGGGGTTGTTTCACTTCCAAATAAGATTAGGTTTGTAAAATTTCTTTGTAGACTCCCTGATTTGGGAATAAAACAATAATCAACATTTATTGAATGTTACATGCCAGGCATTGTACTAAGCACTTATTTTACTCCTTATATCAACCCTGTGTGGTTAACAGTTATTTCCTTTCTGACAAGTGAGGAAGTTGAGACTCTGATTTAGGAACCTGCACAGGGCCACAGTTATAAAAAGTAGAGTCATAATGGAAGATCATACTTGGAAAGAAATGTATGTAGCTAGAGATCTCTAAGAAGTTATTCATGCCTCAGCAGTCTGCCCAAATTACATTTGAAGGGAGGACCCAGTGGAAATAATGTACTAACCGGGGTCTCTTTCTTTGCTCGTGTAAACAGCTAAATTATTATGGGTTGAGAAACATTGCAGGAAAACCAGATCTGGTATTTAGAATGCTAAGAATGGATTTTATATGGGCTTAATTCTGGAATGGTCTTATTCAGTATCTTTAGAAATAATCTGGAGAAAGGAAAACTGGAAGGCCTTAAATAGAAGACTGAATTTCTTCTGAGATTAGAACATTAGGGTTGTACTTGGAAAGGGAGTGAATAGAACATGACAGAAAAGGTTCAGTAGAATTTGTTTAAAAATATATATACCCGGAGGCGGTGTCTGGGTGGCTCAGTCGGTTAAGTGTCTGACTCTTGACTTAAGCTCAAGTCATGATCTCGTGGTTCATGAGTTCAAGCCCCGCATTCAGCTCTGCACTCACAGTGCAGAGCCTGCTTGGGATTCTCTGTCTCTTCCTCTCTTTGTGCCCCTCCCCGAGCTTGCACTCGCTCACGCTCTCTCACTCTCTCGTTCTCTCAAAATAGATAATAAAAACTTTGGAAAAAATATATATATACCCAGAATACATTCTGAAAATGGCAGCCTCTTTGCTACCAGTTAATAATATCTTAGAAGGTGATTGTGTAGACACTTGAGACACTATTACCCTGCTGGCTATCACCTGTGAATGAATATATGTGAACCAAAATGGAAAACGTGTTCACCTTGAATAGAAAACATTAGCAGAGTTATGAGAAACATAAGGTAACTAGATCAAAGTCAATGATAGGTGATTAAAATAGTTAAAGGAATGCAGTGGTTTTTACATAAGAACAGACAGAAAAGACTGGGATTTGTTTGGAACCCAAGATTTGGCAAAGATATAATTACTTTCTAAATCTGATTTGTAGAGTACAGATGAAGGGTAGATTGGTTTATGTAGCAAATTCTGTGGTATCCTACCTTCTCATCACCACCCAGCTTACTCTAAAGTAAAAAAAAAAAAAAAAAAAAAAGACACTGCCTTTTAAAAGACCATACTCTTGTGGGGTGCCTGAGTGACTCAGTCTGGTTAAGTCTGACTCTTGATTTCAGCTCAGGTCATGATCTCCTGGTTTATGAGACTGAGCCCCTGTTGGGCTTCTGCACTGAAAATGCAGAGCCTGCCTGGGATTCTCTGTCTCCTCTCTGCCTCTCTCATGCTTGCACACACGTGGTTTCATGCTCTCAAAAAAAAAAAAAAAAAAAAAATGATACCTTTGTACCATTAACAGTCTGAAAGCATTATGCTTTTGAAATGGATCCATGTTAGGGTTGTTTGCCCCTAACCAGCTTACAGCTCGATTTTAAAAGACTGAATAGTTCAGTGGCAAGATACTGAATTTAATGGCACAGTGATCCGTGTAATTATCCTATATTCTTCAGAAATAGAGGAAATTGCAAGTAAGAAGAAAATACATAGACCTAGTATCTAGTAACCTCTAGTATCTAGAGGTTATTGTGGATTAATACTCGAGATGATTATGTTCTAGGGAGAAACTGTTGTGTCCATTTTAAGGTGCTAGGAATATGTGGCGATAAGTCCCCTATTAAAGATTGTATGTAAATTTCCCAAGATGGGAGATAATGATGTTTAAGGTTTTGCTGTTCCATGTCAGCAAAATCAAGACTTAGCAAAGATTGGGCCTTCATGCGAGGTCTGTGATCTAAATAATAAATATATTTGCGTAGCTCTTTACAGTGTATAAAAATGCTTTGACATACTGTGTGGAAGTGAAACTTCATATGGCTTGCTGGATGTTAACTTTTCTCTGCTTAGTGGGTATATAGTTTGAATTCCATTATTAATACATTTCTGACTCCTAGTTCTTTTCTGAAGCAGTCTCTTCATTTACTGTTAAGTATGCCAGGGGTGTCATGATCCTTTAGTTTTCGTAATTATATGTTGCTCTGACTTTTAGGACTGTGTTTTGACTAAAGATAGTTTTGTAACAATAGAGACTATATTATTGAACTGCTTTGCTTATTTATTTTTTCTTTTCTTTTTCCTTAGATCTGTTCTAAGGACCAAGATTCATTTGGGGGATGGTTACAGGATTGAACCATGATAGGCACTGAAATAAATTCAAAGTTGAGTGAAGCACCAGTCCTGGAAGGGGCGTAGTACTGTGCTTAAAGTGGTTGCTCTGATGTATGTTGAAGAATTTGGTGTCAGGTAACTTTTCAGGTTGCAAGGTTTAAGAGTGTTTTGTTCTGTTGTTCTAGGATTCTAGAGGAATTCATTCATTGGAGGCTTTGGGAAATGTTGCATTAGGTAATTTCTTAGTGTGTGCCACTAAGCATTAATCCTGAGATGATTTCTTGAAAAAGGGAGTTCTGACTCCAAATACATTCGTGAGAAGACTGTAACTAGATCCTTTCTTGGAGTTCCATAGTATAATCTTGTTCGTTGAAGCATTGTTTGCACTAGTTAAGTAAGAAACTGCTTAGGGGCGCCTAGGTGGCTCAGTTGATTAGGCAACTGACTTTGGCTCAGATCATGATCTCGTTCTGAGTTTGAGCCCCGCATTGGGCTCTTTGCTAACAGCTCGGAGCCTGGAGCCTGCTTCGGATTCTGGATATCTCCCTCCCGCTCTCTCTGCCCCTCCCATACTTACAGTCTGGCTCTCTCTCTCAGGCTCTCAAAAAAAAAAAAAAAAAAAGAATAAACCTTAAAAAAAAAAACAGCTTAAATATTCATGGGTAGGAGAGTGGAATCAGACAGTTTTACAGCAGTTAAGAAGGAACTGGGGCACCTGGGTGACTTAGTCGGCTGAGCATCTGACTCTTGATTTCGGCTCAGATCATTATCCCAGGGTTGTGGTATCAAGCCTGCATCAGGTTCCATGCTCTATATTCATTCATTCATCCATCCATCCATCCATTCATTCTCTTTCTCTCTCTTCCCCCACCTTTCCTCTCTCCCTCTGCCCCTTCCCCCACTGGGGCTTTCATCCTCTCTCTCTAAAAAAAAAAATAATAACAAAATGAACCAAATCTTGATCTTTCAACATGGATGCATCTCAAGAACACTAATTTAGAGAAACATTCCAGCATTACAGAATGAGAATGATGCATGCATCGTACGTAGTTTGTGTGTTTTTTGTTTTTTGGTTTTTTTTTCAATTTATTTCTGAGAGAGAGAGACAGTGTGAGAAGGGGAGGGTCAGAGAGAGAGGGAGACACAGAATCCGAAGCAGCCCCAGTCTCCGAACTAGCTGGCAGCACAGAGCCCGACGCGGGGCCCGAACCCACGAACCGTGAGATCATGACCTGAGCCGAAGTCGGACACCCAACCAACTGAGACCCAGGTGCCCCAGTTTGTGTGTTCTTTTACAACCATATGCCTTTACCAGCATATCTGTAGAGTATAAATTCATTTTATAAAGTCAAAAGGATTCATACCAAGCAAGTTGTGATATGGAGAAGTGATTGGGATTGGGGATGATGATCAAAGCATCCTTTTTAAGAAGGGAAATATTCACATATTATTTGTAATAAAAATTAAATACAAGTAAAATGCCTGTTAAGTGCTGAGAGGGCTACTTTTCCCTCATTGGAGATGCCTAACTTGCTAAGTATCAGTTCCATCTCTCTGTATATTAATTCAATCCATTGTATACAAGTTAAACTGCATTTTGAGCCCTGATTCCACAGACTAGGAAGAAACTGTTTTCAAACTATTCCATAATAACGTGACTATTCACACATTTTAAGGAATAAATGAAGTAATTTATACAGTGTAGTCTGTGCAAATTCTCAAGAGAGAGATTCCAGCTTATTGTGTTTGGTCCAAGAGTTCTTTAGGAGAGCAACAAAGAGAAGTTTGAACTTGGTTCTTGAGCCACTAGTGGAAGAGCTGAGAAGCAGTTAATCTGTCCTGCTGAGGGAAACGCTGCCATTCAAAACCTGTTAAGCTTACAGAGGCAAACCCCCTTTTGGTCTTTCCATTGTTGGCAATAATGCTGTTTCCAGTTCTGTATCATTTTCTTAATCCTGTTCTGTAGACCTGATTTTGACCTTTCTGAGTCAAACCTGAGAGCAGTGGCGGTTTTATTTGACTTTACCAGTCCCTGGGGATCTGTTATAACCTCTACATGTTACTGCCTTTAGTGGCCTAACTTCTTCCTGAACTCGTTAGCATGCAGTCCATTTGCATAAAAATTGGTAGTGATATTAGAGGATTCTTTACCAGAACACCAAGTGGAAATCAGTATAAATCAAAAGTGCTAATAAACAGGGTGAACTTCAGAAATGTTCCGAGCAGCTAGGCATCCTCCAAGGATGGAGGGGCTGCAGAGCATGATTATCTGGAAGTATGAAGCCTCTTGAACGCTCCACCCCCCCCCCCACGTGCATGTGCAAACATACACACACACACACATTTCTGCCTGATCAGCCTTACACATGGCAGTAGCTCATTACGTGTTCTTTGTCATGACTGCACCGCTTGGGGGACAGTTGGCCTTATCACCAGTGACCTCTTCATGGAATTTTGAGGTGGGGGCTAGGGTTGAGGATAAGGTACAGAAAGTGAAAGAAAGAACTTCATAAAGAAGAACTTGAGCACTGTAAGTCAAATTTTGCTTTTTTTTAGGGCGGGTGACTTCTTGTTTCTTCTCTCCCATGAGTATGATGGTTGTTGATTGTTTCCTAGTTTTTAATTGTTGCAGGAACGTATGTGTCTCAATGGTTTTTGATATATGGGCAGGTTTTCTTTATTTGGCCAGTTGGATTCTTCCCCTCTTTTGTGTCTGTGATTATAAACACCACCAAATTATTGTAGAATCAGTCAAGATTGTGGCCAGAATTGTGGATTTGATCTCTGTTTTTGGATACAGCTTAAAATTACCCAAGTAACAAGTTTATCAACATTCTTATATTCTTCATGATTTGATAAAGACCATTTAAATAAGTTCATTTCCTGTCAATATAAAATTATAGAAATGTTGAAGATGTCATTTCTTCTCAGAACAAGACTGAGAGCTTTTGGTGAGTTCTCTAATTTGGCTTTCTTGCCTTGGAAGTCCTTGGAAACCTGTTTTGAGAGCCTTCTAAATCCTGCATATTCCTGTCTTCCAGGATTTTTTTCTGGTCAAGCAGACAGCTCAGGATACAGAATCCAAGGATGAATGTTCACCGTGGCAGTGAGAGCGACAGGTTATTGCGGCAGGAGGCTGGCTGCCTAACAGATGAAAGCCCAGCTGCAGCACAAGAGAAAGAAACAAATAGCCCGGCTTCTTCTGGTCTTCAGAACCTTACTTATCCTCTCAGCCCCAGGAGCGATGGTATGACGCTTAGATCTTGACTTCATTTGGAGGGCTTTCCCACATCTGAGCACCCACTCTCCCCAGAAGGCTTTACTAAAGAAAATATCCAGCTGATTGGCTTAGCTTACAGACGTCACAGTTCTGTAAAGATGACCATCATGAAAAATCTCCACTTAATCAGTCTAGGACATCTAACATGGAAATGATAGTATAAGAGAAATTGTCATGGATTAGGAGTCAGAAGACAAATTCAAATTCTAGCTCTGCTACAATCATCTATAACCATGGATGAGCTCCTTAATCTTTCTGAGCCTTGGTTTCTTAATCTGGAAAACGGATATTAATCATCTTCACGAGACCAAAAGACTTTTTAGTTAATGGATGTGCAGGCTCTTGATAAACTGTTAGGCTCTTCTTAATGTTTGATAAAGACAGTGGCAACACTAATGATAACAACTACTGTTTATTGAGCGCTCACTGTGCTAGGAACTTTACTTTTTTTTTTTTTTTAATAAAGGGTAGCAAATCTAGACCATTGCCTGTTTTTTGTAAATTTTTTTAAATAATAGCCATCTTGTTTACATGAGGCCTATTTGTTTACATATGGCCTTTGGCTCCTTTTCTGCTACAATGCCAGAGACCATGGCCCACAAAGCCCAGAATATTTACTTTCTGGCCTTTACAGAAAGTTTGCTCGTCCCTGCTTTGATTAATCCTTGTATAGCTGAGGAAACAGGCTTCAGAAGCTTAGGAAACTTGTTCTGGTTCACACTGCTAGGAGGTAGGGGACTGAGATTTGAACCTGTGCCTTTCTGAGCAGGGCCATGCTCTTCTAGATAGGTCAGCTGCCAGCAGAGCAGAGCATGCCTCCTGTCCTAGAGTGTACCATTCCGGGGAATTGGTGCAGCGAGTCTCTCCTCCTACTGTCTCATTTATGCTGGGAGGAGCTTGCGGTGTCCTTCAGGAATCCGCCCAAATTGAATTGCTTCATTGCTGGGGGGGGCGGGAGTTCTAACAATCTGCGTTCTAAAAATCTGAATTGGTTTTTTAGAAAGGCACTTTGAATGCGAAAGCTAGTCTTGGTGAGTAAAGTGTTTCTTGCTATAAGCTTGCCTGTGGATTGTGTGAAGTTTGGCTCTTGATATGCAAACACAGGGCCACACTGAAAATTTGGCAAAAGTGTAGGATGTGAATCCTTAATACGTTTTTGATCGAGATTTTGGTTTCCTTTCCTCTAGAAGCAAATGTAGTTGGCAGGGTGTCGTGGGGAAGTATGGGGAAGTGAGTGTTCTCTAGCTCACAATTTATTTGGTTATCTAAGTGCTCCAAATCCTATAGGTCATGGACAGTAATCATGTTAATGAATTATTGTGTACAAACTTAAAGTACGTGAGGAATGGGACATTTGAAGAAAATGTAGAAGTGTTAATTAAGCTTATCCAATCTAGGTGTCAGGATATGCATATTGTTAACTCTGTTTTGGTATGTTTGAAATTTTTCCTTAAAAAATTTTTTTTAACTTACGTTAGGAGAACTGCCAATTTAAAAGAATCCTATAGTAATCCTTTATAAGTACTTCCCCTGATATTCTTCTGTGTATGTCCAGATTTCAGCTACAGCATTTAGTTTTAAGCCTTTTTTGCATGATACAGTATTAACACACTTTGAAGTGCTCTCACATACTTTAATTCATTTCAGTTGATAAAATAATCCTATGAGGGAGGTAGAGTGAACATTATTTTCATTTTAGAGAAATGAACAAGGTTTAGAAAATTAAATTATGTAAAGAAAACAGCTCTTTGGTGAAACTAGGACAGAAAACTGATGTTCCGGGAATGAATTCTAACCCAAGGCCACTTGCACTGGAACCTTTCTGCTGAGAGCAAGACTTGCCTATTCAAAAAATGGTGTTGGCAATTAGGATCCTTCTGTGCATAGTGAAAATACATTTTTATGTGACTTTCTAGCAAAAGTAATGAATTAGACAATTAGAGACTATCATCCCTTTGGGAAGTAAAATTTAGAAACATTTAGAAATTTTTGAATGTGAAAAATGAATGCTTTCTGCACACAGAGGCAGCAGTTTCCTTAAAAAAAAAAAAACAGGAAACATAATCGTATTATTTAGAGCTAGAAGTGGAAACAGAAGTAAAAAGTGATTGCCTCTGTGAAAGAAAACAGAGGAGGGCATGGAGTGTGGTAGGGCCTTGCTGGTTGTCCACAGACATTCTTTCGTGTTTAAATTTTTTTAAGCCATGCACGTAGTTTACTTTACAGTTTTAAAATCATTTGATTATAAAATGTGGGCATTACTCCCTTCATTCTCTCCTCCCCAACATACAAACCTGGAAAAAAGCTCAGGGTGGTCCAGTATGAGTCTCTAGTTTATTTTTCCATTATTTGTTTGAGGCAAGAGTTTTTTGCTTGTGACCACCTAAAAATTTCAGGGGGCGGGTATTGGGGTTTTTTTGTTTTGTTTTGTTGTTTTAAGAAGAGCAGGTTTATTCCCCCCCCCCAAGCCTTTTTGCTGTCAAGTTATTTTGGTTTGTTTGTATGATCTTTTAGACCTTTCACTTGACTATGCCTCTCAGCCAGCAAATCTTCAGTTCCCTCACATAATGCCACTTCCTGAAGACATCAAAGGCTCCTGCTTCCAAAATGGGAATAAACGGAACCATGAACCCTTTATGGCTCCAGAACGATTTGGAAACAGCACTGTGGGCTTTGGCAGTAACGTTCATTCCCAGGCGCCAGAGAAAGTGACACTTCTTGTAGATGGCACACGTTTTGTTGTGAATCCACAAATTTTCACTGCTCATCCGGATACCATGTTGGGAAGGTAATTGATGATGATTTCCTTCCAAATTCACTCTGTTCTCTCTGAGGAGAAATACCTGCTGTTTATCTTGCACTAGAATGAGGAAAAGAAGCACTGATTGCTTTTTTTCCTGCCTTCATATTTTTGAGAGACAGGGAGGGCAAGCTTGTAAAAAAACCTTATATCTTTTGATGATTTGGGTATGTACTTAATTTCTTTACAAAGCCAGTAGAGTAAAATGAGCCCCCACAAAAGGGAGTGCAGTCAGTTTGAACTATGGAAAATTATCTCTGAATCTCATTCCCTAGTCCTCAATAAACTCACTCTAGAGCAGAAGTCAACCTGATTTCTATTATCCATAGTTTGTATACTCACGAAAGTAATAATCTTCTCCGAGTTCCACATCAAAGATCTAGAGTTAAGGTGAGATCTAAGTTGTGTTTTTTTTTCCTTTTGTCTTTAATAAAAGATAGAATTAGACGTGTTCCACACGACATAAGAACAAAGGCATTTTACCAAAGAGTGTTTTGTCTGCCAACCATTAACCATTATGCTTGGCAGCAGGGTTGTGCTGTCATTTTCTAATGCCTCCATCACCATTCAGGTTTTCCAAAGCCAAATCTTTCTATCTGGCTGTTTTGTTGTTTTGTGTTTGTGCTCTCTTTGTGTTCCACTCTGTCTGCTGCTTTTAGACTATAGTCTTACCATCTCCTGACTCCAGCATTTTAGGGTTAGAGCTTAGGAAATGGAAAGAGCCTCCCAAGGAGGAGCACTGTCCAGAAATTATTCTTAGAGCCTGGGCTGGGAGTTAGGAGATTCTCTTTCTGGCTAACCACAGACTTTAACATGAGGAAGAGCGGATTGGGATAAGAGTAAAAACAAACTCGTGTATACATACAAACACTTGGCTTTTGAGGGTTTTCATCTACTTCAAAGTAGATCTTATGTAAAGATCGAACCTCACTCAAGACTTTGATGTAGAAATCAAAATGGACCACACTCATTTGTTGTTTTAGACTAAATGGAATCCAGCTATACAAATATATTTATATTTGAACATATACATACGGATTCATGATGATCCATTTTTGACCAGAACCAAACTTGTATATTTCTCAGACATCTGAATTTAACTAGAACAAAAATGCAACTAGAATATTAACACATTTTCCAAATTGGCCCTGTAGTTTATCAGGCTTGACTTCCTGTCCTCAGTCTTGGTGTCAGTACACTTGTGCTCTCCCCTCCCCCACCTTCCAAGTCCGTGTTAGTGTTCCCTCAGCACAGGCTGGCTCTTTGAGATAGATTGCCTCTGAAAGTAGTGATCACGAGAAGCAAGCAAGCATTTTCTGGGTACTAGATTAATAGATACTTGGGTGACGCCCTTTCTTTGAATCTCGGAATCAGTTGTTCCATGACCAGAGGCTCTGGTTCTTTATCGAGGTGGTTCATCAGCCAGGTCAGCTGAAGTTCTCTGTTCTGAGAGTTACTTAGGTTTGCCCTGTCCTGAGGTTACATACAGTGTGCATAAGCCTGGGCAGTGACTTACAGACGTGGGCCAGTAGTCACAAGGGGGACAGGCTGAGAGACTGCGAAGGGATTAGTGTTAATCCATGTCACTACCAGATAGATAACTCTGAGTTTAGGTCCTGCTGATGATAGATAGGGGAGGATTACATGGCATGTTCACTATTTTGATTCATAGCTGTCTTGGCTAGACTTCAACCAGAATGTTCCAGAAAAATGTCACCATTCTTTGAAGACACTTATCAAGATGGATTTCTTCTGTATGGCGTAGTGGTTTGAAAAGCATGTGATTTGGAGCCTTTTTCAGATCTTTGAAAAGCAGCCAGTTTAGGGTGGAGGATAACAGTTTTGAACGTTGAACAGCAGATTAAGGAAGGAAATGGCAGTGAGGCCCAATTGGAAACTCCTATCAGGCTGGCTGTAGATCCTGCCTGCCCGCCCTGTCCCTCACTCTGGTTTCCCATTCCACAGCTCAGATGTGCAGTGGGAGTGGTGAAGTCCTGGGGCCAGTTTTACTGGAGGGCGGGAGGATGGGAAAAGAGGAGTAAGAAAAAGTAAGATTTCCCTGTTCCCTCATGACCCCTGAGTTCATGCACAGAGCAGACCCCCCCTGAACTATGTCAAACCACTGATGAGCCTAATTACTACCGCCCCGGCCTACTTGACCTGACCATCACTAGAGCTAGTCCTTGGATTGAAGAGGGGCATCGCACCCAGAACTCCAGCATTACGATGTACCAGCAAAGGGAGAACTTTAACATCTGCACCTACTACTACGGATTCACCGATCACATTAGATGTTGAACAGCAAAACTGAGAAATACGGATACTGGCGTACTAGATGATGGTCATCAAGGGAGGAAGGAAACAGAGGTCAGGAGCGTGAGACACACTGTGGTCTTGAGCTGGCGGTGTGTAGGCAGGTTCCTCGGTGCTGGGAGGGCTGGAGAGGCAACCCTCACCCACTCCAGAGATTTCCCAGCGTGAAATCCCAGAAGCACCACAGGTACACCTGGAGGACTTGCTGCTTCATTTCTCCTTGCACCCAAATGCTGAAAGCGATTGCTGCCATGTTTTCTCTCTGGAGGGAGCTTCTCAAGAGGGGCTGGGTCCCACCACTGTGTATGTAATTTATGAGTTTTAAAAACTATGGGAACGTGAGTCTTCCCGAGTGAGGTGTAAAGGGGGCAGTCTCCTCTGTGAAGAACCCAGCTGGACTGCAGATGGTAACATTGTTGCCTGGTGTCTTTCAGAATGTTTGGACCAGGAAGAGAATACAACTTCACCCGGCCCAATGAGAAGGGAGAGTATGAGATTGCTGAAGGAATCAGTGCAACTGTATTTCGAACGGTGCTGGTGTGTAGGAACCTTTTTGTTCCTTCCTCTTCCCCAGGGGCAGGCATGGTCGGAAGCCTTGAGATCTCCATCCGATTGGGACTTTCGGGTCTGGAGTTCCGTTATTGCCCTTTCCCTCTTTATTTTCTATTGTGCTAACTTTTAAGTGTTTCTCACCTGTCCGGTATCGAGCTCAGTCAGGTATCAAGTGGCGATTACACTTGCCAGGAGAGCCACCAGCCACTTGGCTAGCTGCTAAGTGGGCCAGCTGGGTGGTAGTTCTAGTATCCTATCAGTTTAACAGAACCAGGAATGAACAGAGGGTTGAAGAGGTAATTTTCTTGTTCTTTGCCTACATTTCTCATTTTTAATCTATTTACAGGATTATTACAAAACTGGTATCATTAATTGTCCAGATGGCATCTCTATTCCAGACCTTAGAGATACATGCGATTATCTCTGCATTAACTTTGACTTCAACACTATCCGATGTCAAGATCTGAGTGAGTACAGGAGCACTCCCAGCTGCATTTGAGCACCTGGACTTTCAGTTTGCTTGAAATTGACTGATACTTTTTATTACTAGAGTTTTAAGCCTAAATTGAAAATCCTCTGCAGAGGCAGATACTGTGATACTGACCCCTTCCCTCCTCCCATGCTTCAAAGCAGTGAGGAAGTAAACAAAAGAGAACATGTGTTGTGTTCTAAATCTAGCTTGTCCATGAGTCACCAAGCTAATTGCTTCCCCTCCTAGGACCTGGCGTCTCAATTTTTTAAATAAATAAGGATGCTGATTCTTGGACATGAGTGAGACTTCCCTCATAAATTCAAACAGCATAAATTTGCCGGGTTATTCTTAGAATTATTTTTATCATTTTTTAAAAAAAAATTTTAAATTTCTTTTAATGTTTTCTACTTACTTTTGAGAGAGAACACAAGCGGGGGTGGGGGGGGGGGCACAGAGGGAGAGGGAGACACAGAATCCAAAGTGGGTTCCAGGCTCTGAGCTGTCAGCACAGAGCCCAGTGCGGGGCTTGAACTCAGACTGTTAGATCATGACCTGAGCTGAAGTCAGATGCTTTAACTGCCTGAGCCACCCAAGTGCCCCTTAATATTTGTTTATTTTGAGACAGAGAGCAAGTAGGGGAGGGGCAAAAAGAGGGAGAGAGAAAGAATCCCAAGCAGGGCCCCACACAGGGCTCCATCTCTAGGACCATGAGATCATGATCTGAGGTGAAATCACAAGTCAGATGCTTAACCAGCTGAGCCAACCAGGCGCCCTATTTTTGTCATAATTATTATTGTTTACTAAGTGCTTTATAGCTGTGAACTTGCTTAATTCTTACAACAAGTTAGCCCTGAAAGCTGGGTGATATAACCCCATGTAACAAATGAGAAGACTGGAAATTAGCTTGCTCAGAGCTCTAAGCAGTAAAGCTGGGATTAGAACTGATTGACCACAAGCGCCATTTTCTTATCTCCTAGCCTTCCTGAAATTATTTTAAAAACTATTCTTTGAGGTTTGTGTTACATTTGCCTGCATATTCCATAAAGTTCTCTAGACTTGTGGTTTCCTTCCTGAGTCTAGCACACACTTAGAACTGGTCCCTTGGTGTCATCAGACTTAGGTTATTCCTCTTCTGTGGTCCTGTGACTCCATGACATTGGGGTCCAGAGCATCTTCGGAAGAGGTACCACAAAGAGTCATCTCCAAACGACAGTTGTAGCTCTTGTAGAATTAATGTGTACGGTTTGAGGTAGTACAGCTAATGGAAGTGTATTTGTTCAGAAAGCTTAGGGATTATTAAGCATGAGGAAGTTAAAGAGTAATGGTATGTGAGACACTTAACAAGATCAGCTTAATTAGCACCTCAAAGCAAGACACAGCTTCTGCCTTTAAAATGGGCTGCCTCTCTGAAACTTCTCTGGGACAGCTGCCGTTACCTCATAGTCTTTTCCACTTGGGTAATCTCTGCATTTGGGCAGACAGGACGTTCACCTGCCTTTTCTCTCCCCAGGCGCTTTACTCCATGAGCTATCTAACGACGGCGCCCACAAGCAGTTTGACCACTACCTTGAAGAGCTGATCTTACCCATCATGGTGGGCTGTGCCAAGAAAGGGGAGCGAGAGTGCCACATCGTCGTGCTGACGGATGAGGATTCTGTGGACTGGGATGAAGACCACCCCCCTCCCATGGGGGAGGAATATTCCCAAAGTAGGAGCCCCCTGCACGGTGTACATGTTTTCAGCAGGAAACATGCCACCCAGAGTAGCAGCTCGATCCTACACCCACCGTGACCCAATGTGACTCTCACTGTTGAGCTGGCAGTGAGCACACTCACCTGGATGATCACGTCTAACTTTTATGCTGCTTATGTGACATTATTATTCCTCCCACTTCTGTCCCTGGTGTCTAATACTGTGGCAATATACAGGCGATACTGAGGCCATTAATCGGTGGTGTCATTCTTCTCTCCATTTGTTTCATTCTTAACCCTTTTTTTTTTTTTAAATGCTTGTTTAATTTTGAGAGAGAGCATGAGCAGGGGAGGGAGAGAGAGAGAAGGAGACCTAGAATCTGAACTCCAGGCTCTGAGCTGTCAGCACAGAGCCTGATGTGGGGCCGAACTCTCAAAGCACGAGATCTTGACCTGCGCCGAAGTCAGATGCTTAACCCCAGGCCACCAAGGCGCCCCAAAATTCAGAAAGTACAAAAGGTTATACATTGAAAAGTCTTGATCCCATCCCTGCCTCATCTACCCAATTTTCCTTCTCAGTTTCTTTTATATCTTCCCAGTGTATTCAGTGCTTGTATGTAACCAGTTATATACATGGTGTTTCCTTTTGTTTCAAATGATATGCTATTCTACAGACTGTCCAATACCATGTCTTACATAAAAACCTTCCACCGTCTTTTTATAGTCATATGGTATTCCACTGTGTGGCAGTGCCGTAATTGATTTAACTAGCTCTGGTATTGATTTAAGCTATAAATTTCAAATGACTTTGCAATAAATAACCTTTTTTTTTAATGTGTTATTTCTGAGAGAGAGAGACCGAGAGAGACAGTGTGAGCAGGGGAGGGTCAGAGAAGGAGATACAGAATCTGAAGCAGGCTTCAGGCTCTGAGCTGTCAGCACAGAGCCCGACGCGGGGCTCGAACCCATGAACCGTGAGGTCATAACCTGAGCCGAAGTTGGACGCTTAACCGACTGAGCCACCCAGGCACCCCAATAAATATCCTTTTAAACATAGTCTTTTCACACGTGTATATCTCTATAGAAAGATACCTGTAGAGAGGTGCTTGGCTGGCTCAGTTAGTAGAGCCTGCAACTTCTGATCTCGGGGTTGTGAGTTCAAGCCCCATGTTGAGTATAGAGATTACTTAAATAAAATCTTTCTTAAAAAATTTTTCCTAGAAATGGAATTTCTGTGCCAAAGCATTGTTCCTTTATAATTTTGATATATGTTGCCAAGTTTTCCTCCACAGAAGTTGAACTATGTTACACTCTCAAAACAACATGACAGGTTTGTTTTCCACACCATCCCCAAAACAGTGTTTCATTAAACTTTTATCATTGCCACTCTGGTAGGTAAAAAATTGCTTCTCATTTGAAAGTTTTAATCTGCATTTCTCATTTCATGATCAAGACTCTCCCCATCTTTTCGTTTTTAAGAGCCATTTTAATTTCCTTTTCTATAACTTTATTTCTGCCTTTGCCCATTACAAAATGGATCGTTAGACTTTTACTCAGTGATTTCTGAAAGCTCTGTGACCACTCTTTATATATTAAGGAAATTAGCCCTTTGTAATAAGAGCTGCAGATATTTTTCCCAGTTGATTGTCTTTTTAGTGTTGTTAAGGTGGTTTGGCTACACAGAGGTGTTTTTTATGTACTAAGGTATCAGTTTTTATTTTATGGCTTCTGACTTTTATGCGGTACCCAGAAAGGTTTTCCACACCCTGAGACGATAAAAATTTCTCATGTGGTTTCTTTCTTATGTTTGATCTATTACTTAACATTTAATCTGTGATCCAACTGGATTTTTTTTTTTTTTTTTTTTTTTTTTTTTTTTTTTTTTTTTTTTTTTTTTTTTTTTTTTTTTTTTTTTTTTTTTTTTTTTTTTTGTTTTGGAAGTCTTTATTCCATGACTAACCCAATTTTTCTTTTTTCCAGTTCTTTATAGCTCCAAGCTCTATAGATTCTTCAAATATATTGAAAATCGTGATGTCGCTAAAACAGTGTTAAAGGAGCGGGGCCTGAAAAACATTCGCATTGGAATTGAAGGTAATAAACATCCCAGTTAGTATACTGCTCACTTGGCTCACGGAGCAGGTTGTACCTATGGGCACAGCTTATGTTCTTAAAACTCAGCTTCCAGAGGACCTAGAGAATAGGCACATATGAAAACCACATTCCTACCCCTTTGAACGATTCCTGTTTTTATTTACCCTTACATTTCCTTTTCATCTTATATCTAGTCGTAAATGATTTTTTTTTTTTTTAATATTTTATTTCTAGGAGACAGAGAGAGAGAGAGACAGCGTGAGCAAGGGAGGGTCAGAGAGAGAGGGAGACACAGACTCTGAAATAGGCTCCAGGCTCTGAGCTGGCAGTCAGCACAGAGCCCGACGCGGGGCTCGAACCCACGAACCGCGAGATCATGACCTAAGCAAAAGTCGGACACTTAACCGACTAAGCCACCCAGGCGCCCCTAGTCATAAATGCTTTAAAAGAGCTGCAGGAATAAGTTCCAGCTTACTGCTTCGAGACAAAGAGCAGTGAGGGCTAAGGACACTGGTGGACTCCCCAGGTGGGAGGGCCATTCCACCATGTCTTGGTGAGGGTCTTTTTGGGATCTGGAAGGGTCCTTCTGAACCAGCCTGTAGCCTGGAGACTCAAAAGTTTAATTTTTTCCATCACACACCTTTGAGGAATGTCTGTATGTGTTGATAGAACTGCTATAAATAAATGGTCATGAGCAGTGACTCCCAACCGGTGGTCTCCACGGAAGGGTCTCAGACTCTGATCCTCAGAGAATGCCGAAGCCATTCTAGTTTCCCTTCCATGAGTGAGTATGGTTTTATTCTTGCTCAGTCTTGCCCACAGAGCCCAGCCCATCAGATCTTCATTGTGTCTGACTTAGGTTGGAATTTCAAGTTGGAAGAGATTTTTGAGATTAACAGTCTCTTTCCACTATGTCACTCCTTTGCCACTGGGAACCCCTGAAGCAGGGTGATAAGGATGAGTCCATTTCCCAGAGGAGGCCATCAACTGCTCTACCATTAGAATATTCTTCTAGAAGATCTAGTAGATCATTTCCTCTCTCTCCTGTCTTCTTTCTAGTTCTAGCCTCTGAAGCTACTCTGAGTAAGATTTCTCCTATTTCCATGTAATAGCCTCTCAGATTTTTTAGGCAACATTCCTGTTTTTTTTTTTTTAGGCTACACATTACATACCTTCTTAACTACCTCTCCTACAGTGTGTTCTCTGTGCAGTAGAATTAGAGGAGTGGAGTTAGCTGTGGCTCAGCAGTAGTTCTGTGGTGTTATTACCAGGAACTAACAGCTTCTGAAATTACTCACTGTGCCATTAGAAGGGATAGAATTTTTGTTACTTCCTTTCCGAAGGATGAGACCTCCTCACCTGGATAGGCGCGAAGTGCACATGTAGGGGATTAGGAGTTGCAGAGCACGGTCAGAGGTCGTTTCCCCAGTGGTTCTCATGCACAGTCTTTGAATTTGGGAGGAAAATGATGTGGTTAGGGAAGGGAAGGGAAAGTATGGAAACTGGAGTGAGCAATTTCCTAGAGTCGTGAGCGTGGCCTTTTGCTTTATTTCAGGTTATCCCACTTGTAAAGAAAAAATTAAGAGAAGACCTGGTGGCCGGTCTGAAGTAATCTATAATTATGTGCAGCGCCCCTTTATCCAGATGTCATGGGAAAAGGAAGAAGGGAAGAGTCGTCATGTGGATTTCCAGTGTGTCCGAAGCAAATCCCTCACTAATCTGGTAGCTGCTGGAGAAGGTGTCTTAGAGGACCAGGAGATCCTAATGCACCACCCACCCCAAGTGGATGAACTTGACCGGCTGAATGCCCCACTTTCTCAGATGGCTTCTAATGACTTTCAGGATTAGGGCCAGCTGTGGACACACCCTCTTCAGAGCTCCTCTTTCTGGGGCGCCCACAGCCGGTCCTCCCCGTGGTCTGTCTCCCCTGTGTGGGAGACCTGCTTCTCCATCCCTTGCCCTCCCTTCACAGATAACGTGTGTCCTTTTCCTTACTGAGAAGTCTGTGCCTCCAGCAGGGGATGAAGAGCACTCACTGGTAAATAAGATACCAGCTTCGCAGTGGCCCTGGTAACTTGAACTTTTTGGGTCTGGTGCTGTTTACTGAGTCTTTGCATAACTGCAAAAAGCAGGAAAGGAAGTCAAGACTCCTGTTGCCTCATATTCATCAAAGCAGTCCTCATCCTTTATACTCTGTTCTTGGCTTTTGTTTTGTTTTTTTTTCATACCAGGCAAATTAATGACAGCAGCAATGGGACCAGACTTTAAAGAGAGACAATCTCTAGCTTCCACAACCAGGCGCTAATGGGATTCTCATTAGGGATTTAATGAAGATGCCATTCCTGGTGGCCTCTGTGCCCAGATTGCGTCCGGAAGACCTAGGCTCTCATCAGAAAGTCCAAAATGAAATTTCATAAGAGTTTAAATTCAGTTTTGTTTTTCATTAATGCGATGAATAATTCGAAACCACGGGAACTCCAGTAATAGCATAACAATGTTTATGAAACCTTTTTAGGTTCGAAGTTTTTGAGCTTACACAAATCAGTTATTTGGAATTATCCTTTGGAGTGAAATTCACAACTCAAGTAGAAGAACCTCTCCAAATCAAGCCACTTTGATTATCCCTGCTCGGAATCTGGTGTGAAGCCCCAGGCCTTCCCCTTAGGGCAGCACATTGCCGTGGGTGTGGCTGGGAAACCTTAAAGGCTTTCAGGAGATAAATTTCCCAGCAGCGCTCAGTTTCTCAATGGAAAGACTTCTAAAAGCCCGGAGAAGGGGACATTTGGGGTGAAGCTGAGTGGGGAAGAAACATCACCTCACAGGCTCGGTCTCCGTGCAGGATTTTTCTTGGTATATTCTTTTCATACTATGAACTTTTTTTTTTTTTGGATATCAGGATACTTGTTTTTGAAGTAGCCAGTTACACTGCTCACACTGCGTAAAAAACCATACTACTGTCATCCCCAAAGCAAGGATGAGTGGAAGTGATATTATGCTTAGTAACTTTGTTCGATCTGTCGGTTCTATGTTAATAATGCATGATGTGGGACAAACGAGATCACTCCCCCGAAGTACTGACCCATTTCCCCTCAAGTCCCCAGGCTAGTAGCAGAGCTAAATTTCAAGTCTAGAGCCAGATGTTAAGTGTCTGGGGAGTTTCCCATTTTGTGGTAAAGGTCGGTCTTATCACCTACCCAGAACCTTTACTCTTCACAAATTTCAGTGAGGTACATAGTTTCCTTCAAGCTCTTTCAGATAACATGACTAGTTTTCTTAAATTCCGTTCCCATAAGATCCCATAGGACAAGGTAGAGGATTTCATCTTGACTGTCCTAGTCCTCCAAAAGTCCAGTCAGATGGATGTCAAAAGCTGCTCTTTCCATGCTTTAAGAACCAAGAATGTTCGTAAGAAGTGTGTTCTCTGTGCATGGAACCAGCAGCACAGTGGAAATCAATTCTGTTCATGACTCCCAAAAAAAAGTAGTAGTAAGGAGTTAAACTGAGCCATCTCCCACCTACAGAGTTCTTCTGACTACCACTGGCATCCAGTTTGTAAGGCTGATGGCAAGGATTAAAGCTTAGGGTCAGTGTTTTTTGTGGCCAGAGGGTACTTTTAGGTCTGTGAAACTCATGGACTCATTTGTCAGGTTTGGCTTTGACCTTAACAGTACTACATTCATACCCACTAATTGACCAGCCCAGATAATTGTTTAATGGTGCTTCCTTTATGCTGATCAGTTGATTTCCATGCCATCACAGAGGAGGTTTGAATTAACTGTGTAGTCTGGTAAGTATAACTCCTCTTATACAGCTTATGTATTAACCTGTAAGTGTAAATGTGCTGCAACTAATATTCTAAAACTCCGTAGTTCTTGCTGAGGTAAACAGCCAGGCAGGAAAGTGTGGCATGTGTTCAACACGTGGCTCTGTGTAAATGATTCATTTCTTCAGGCTTTCCAGAAGTAGGTCTGTCTTCTCCCCAGACTGGGTTAACGTGCTTTTGGCTCCAACCTATGGGGTGAGTGAGCTTCAAACCTGTATCGGCAAATCTGCCAGTGTCCCTAGATGGTGGTAACAAAGGGAAAAGTGGAGCTTACAGGTCCCTTCTTGGGGAGAGGGAGGTTTCTCCTGCACCTCCACCCTCCCAGCCTGGAGCTCAGCATCACTGTAATTTGGTGGCTCCCCTTAGCCATAGCTGCTTGTTCCCGGGGCCAGGACATTCCATAATGGCAGGACCACGCGTTCCCTGCAGGGACAGTGGCTGGGTTGCCGTCAGTCCCTTCAGAGGCCGTTACTGGCCAGCTGGGTAAGAGGTATTATCTAATAAAGGTGGAACTCAGGTTTGGTGTTTTTTGGTTTTTGGTTTTTTTTCTAAGTGCCTAAATAAGTAAGCCAGGCTGTTTATATAGAACCATCTTCATAATAAGATGGTTTTTGTTCAGACCGCCTTACTCAGAGGTATCTCAGCAAGCCAAGATAAACCTGAATTTGAGGTTTGGAATCTAAGTTTCTTAATGCATCATTACCATGTATTTTTGACTAGGAAACATTTGGCATTGAGCTGGAGAGTGGGCAAAGAGCATTAAAATGTGTCTGGTGAGATTACTTAATGGCTTCTCCAAAGTGGAGGAAAAGTATCGAAAAGACCGCAAAAATGGTAAGGAAACTAGAAAGTAGCTAGATTTACTGCACAATTTGTAACAGCCAATATTAAGTTAAATTCCAGGAAACCAGTATGATACATAATGTATACAAGTCTGAAAATACTGTGGAATAAGCCCAGGAAGGATGGATGTATTTGCAGAAAACAATCAGAGCAGAGGCTTTTTAACTCATTGTCAAAGGGTGATAAGGAAATCTTTTTTATGAAGTCAATAGAAAGTTAAAAATCAAGGGATTTTAGTAATTTATTCAGTGCCACTTCTTGCCATCATTTTGAGATTGTCCAAATGGGCATAAGAGTTCAGAAAGGGAATCTGATGCCTTCACTGGTAGGGATGGAGCCACATTCGTGCTCTGGGTGGGATCACCTCTGCAGAAGAACAGTACATTTTTCTCTTAAAGGCAAAATGCTTGTAGGTTTTACCTCTTTATTTTGTATTTACTCTGAAAGTTGCACTTGTTCACCAACCAGTGTTTACGAAATCCTGTATTTGGGATGCTTTTTCTATAATAAAATATTATCATTTGTGTCCATGTTGTTTTTTAGCAGAAAATACAAGTCAAGATGTTGAATTAAAAGGGACTGAAAGAAGTAGCTCCTTGAGTGCCCAGAACAGAGCCTCTCCCTCGTGTGGGGCCTTGGGGTCACTTTGAGCCTGTGTGTGTGCCTTTCCCGCCCTATTTCTTTAGAACTCCAAGGTTTCCAGAACCCTGGTAGTTTACCTTCTTGAATTCCTGGTTAACTTGAATTCAGGACCTCCTGAATCCTCAAATCCAACCAAGTAGGACCCCACAAAGCCAAATGTAAGTTTGAAAGGTAAGAAAACTCACGGACTTTATGTTCTGGTTTTGGTTTAAAACCAGTGAGGAACCATGGCCGGAATGAGAGGCCCCCCCGGGAGCACTGCTGTAGAGCTGGCGGCTCCTCCTCTGGTCTCTGCGGTGTGGCCTTACTCTAGGCCCGTGTCTGTGGAGCTTCCTCAGCTCACTTAACCCCGGAGCTTACCGGTGATAAAACTTTTAAAAGGGGGGCTAAAGCCACCACCTCCCTAGCAGGCCTGCCTTTATTGGTGCAGAGGTTAAGAACATGCTCTGAAGACGTGGCCCGTTAGGTATATTCTGTGGCAAGCACTGCAGTGATCCGGACACCCTCTTCAAGGGGGGTTTTATAACCGGGGAAACCTCGAGCAGTCCAGGCCACTCAGGACACCCTGAAGGATGGAGTAGCCAGTTTTTGCCATGAGTGTTCACAAGAGGATTCTGGAAGTGACCCATGAACCAAAGGGTAAAGAATGAAAATTGTCATTTTGGATCCATGAATATGCATAGAGGCGGCAGTCCAGGCCAACTCAACTCTACGAGCAAAGGTGAACCGCTGACAGCATGGAAGATGGGGTGATGCAGAGATGAAGCCAGAGTAAGGAAGGACTCTCGTATCTGAAAGCTGTCTGGTCTCCGTGATCGAAACTACTGGGAGCCCTAAAGGGTTTTTCATGTATGAGAATGACCTGGTCAGACTTGAAATTTGAAAGAATTTCTGTGGCAGCAGGGAGGGCAGTAGACTTGAGAGAGAGCAGGGACAAAGGTCAGCTAAGAGGCCACTGCAGTACACTCAGTAAGAAATAATGAAGGCGCCGCTGGGACAGATGGATGCATCCCGGAGTTGTGCCTGTTTACTGACAGGAACTGTGTAAGAAGTTTCCAGCTGAGGGGTGCCTGGGTGGCTCAGACAGTTAAGCGTCTAACTAGTGATTTTGGCTCAGATCCTGATCTCTCAGTTTGAGTTCGAGCCCCACGTCAGGCTCTGAGCTGACAGCGCAGACAGAGCCTGCTGGGGATTCACTCTGCCTCCTCTGAGTGTGTGTGCGTGCTCGCTCTCAAAAATAAATTGAAAAAGGTAACAGACGTAAGAGGAGCTCCGTCTGGACGGCTTTTCACCTGAGCCTGAGGGGGCCTTCCAGACAGTGGTGTCTAGCAGGCACTTGGCTCCGCGGTCTAGAGTTCTGGGGATGGGTCTCGGAAGTCGGTCACTTTGAAGACCTCACCACAGAAATGGCAGTTGAAGTCACAGTGTCGGAGAGATCACTGAGATCACATGAACAAAACAAAGGCAAAGGCATTGCTCGGAGAAGCACCAGCATTTGGGTGCTAGCAAAGGAACTACCAAGTAGTTAGTCCGGTGGGGAGAGAGGTTTGGTTTGGCTGTAAGGCCGTGCGTGTACAGCGGGTTGGTCAAGATGAGGCCCGAAGGGAAGCCAATGGATGTGGCAGTCAGGACACCAGGGCCGGGAGAAAGGACTGTGCAATGGATACTAGTAGGCTTCATGCACAAGGTAATTAATAAATACAAGGTAATTAATGTTTCATACAAGGGCCAGAAGTGAGGTGAGCGAGGTGAAGTGGGAGGGGGAGACGGGGAAGTGACACGGCAACTGCGGTGTCCAGAAGGAACGCCGGCTCCACGCCCCCGCCACACTCTCGGACTGCTCGCTGGCCTCTGCCGAGTCACCGAGTCCCCGCTACTTAACCTCTCCCGGAAGCTCTGCTCAGCCCCGCCCCCTGCAGCTTCAAGTCGGCTTCACAGTGCCGTGACACCGGCGCTGAGGTCGCGACCGTACATCTGGCGCTGGGTGCCAGTAAGCCACCTGGTGGAAATTCCCAAGCTGCCCGGCAGGCTCCCTGGTGCGCTCCCAGAGGGCCTGGCGCCGTGCTCTGTATGTGACGGACCTCAGCGTTATGTGGGCAAGGGGTTTTCTCTGACAACGTGCCTGAACAAGCATCGTGGAGGTGGCTCAGTCAGCGCTGGCTTTAGAGCTCATTCCAGGGAAGACACCTACTGTTCACTGAATACTTTCTGCGTTCCAGAAAAAAATACCATCTGGGTTAGACATGGAGGGCCAGGAGAGACAAACAGGAGCAAGTGGAACCCAAACTGCTTTCCAAGGAAACGACTCCAAGAGGCAGCAGCAGGTGCGGCAGACGACTCCTGTTCTGCCGTATAGAGGAGTCCTGAACCTGCCATCTGCTATTCAGAGCCTGAATACTAACCCTGAAGGACTCCTCCGTAGCTAACTTTTGAAGGGAATGGTAAAAAGAGACCGGTCCGGGGGGGCACCTGGTGGGCTCAGGCGTTAGCGCATCCCATTCCCGATCTCAGGGTTGAGCCCAAGCCCCACCCTGGGTGTGGAGCCTATTTTTACAAAATTAAAGAAAAATGGGGACGGAAGAAAATCCCGATGCACTCCTGAATCAAGAGGAGACTGAATGCCAGCAGCACTGTCCCATTTCCGTATGCTGTACATACGTCCTGTCTTCTAACTCCCCTGCGAGAGCAGGAAACAGCTATCTGTGCACAGGACCAACCCTGAGCCAACGGTTCCTGACCTGTTTCCTGAAACCCTTACGCTTTGCAAAGACGACACACACTCTGGCTGCAGTTCTAACCCTGGATGGCCTCTGCTGTCCCGCCTCTTTCTGAGGCTCCTCTCCCTAACCCAGGGGCGGATCCGGTGGGACTCCTGCCCTGGTGGACCTGGAGGGTAGAGAAGTCCCCTCCCGGGAGGCTGGGAACTTCCCCGTAGACCCCAGACCCGGTAAACAGCTGAACAAAGGGCGCCTTGTCAGCAGCTCTGCCCCTGGCTTAGCTGTGGGGGGAGAGCCCTCCGTGTAGCCCAGCACACGCTCAGGGCCAACAGAAGCCTGTCTCCTTCTACAAACACCAATTCAAAAGACTCGTTCTCAGGGGACAAGAAAGCAGGTCCCAGCCTCCCTGAGACAGGAAAACCCTCTGCCTGAATCCAGGGATGCAGTGTCCCGTGGGCTGCAGGCAAACGGGATAGAGGAAGCCATTGGCACTCTGCCGCTGGGAGTTACAAGCCACGCTTGCCTTAAAACACCTCGGATTCACGCTGTTTTCACACGGTTTTATTGAGAACTTTAAGATGTGGGCACTTCCCCCAAAACTAATCCCCCACCACCACCACTCCCCACACACAGTCACTGCTCCTATCCGCTTCTCTCTAGTGCACTGACCACACACACTCGCAAAACCCCTGGGGACCAAAACGTCAGCTATTTGGTGACACAAAAAACACTACCAGTTACACAAAAGAATCTCATTTACTTCCTTTTCACTAACAGACCATGAATGAAAGATTAAGGGGCAAACGTTACCTTTATCCAAAGTGAATACTTCCCTATATATTTTTTTTCCTTCTAAGACATTAAAACCCAAAACAGTTTCATTTACTAGCGTAACTCTGATATTACCCCATTTTTCCTCTCTGAATGGCTAAGCTAGGACATATTGTCAAGTGGCTCTGAACCTCAAGCCTGGCAGAAAGCAGACTCCTGGCTGGAGCTCGGCCACGACGCTTGGCGACAGGCAAAATTACCGCACAGGTGCAAACGTTGCTTTCAGAGTTATCATAAATTTTAAAATAATGCATTAAAATGGAGCCTCCACGTTTTTCTGATGCGGCAAAATTCCTCTAAAGGTGGTGGCAGCTGTGAAAGAAAAGGCACTTCGTGCTACAAGTCCGAGGGTCTCTCACGAGAACGCGGCGGCGGAGGCCTGGCCAGTCAGAGCCGCAGGCTACCCTTTCGGGTGGAGAGAGGCACCCCCGGGAAGGCATCTGCAAAGGAAAAGTTCGTAATCGTGATTCCAAGGCAAAACGGTTACTTAAATGGGAGAGAACGACAGAGAGAGAGGGCGGTTGCGTCAGGACTGAGGAGTAAACATCACACGGATTCACAGGCTGGCTCTGCGCTTTCTACCGGGCTGCTTCCTTCAAGTCCAAGGAGGTTCCAGAGACCAAGCAGGAGAAGCACCTTAGCCAAGAGGGTTCCAGACCTCCTGCCTCTGCCCGGACTCTCCCTGCCGAGTTCCCGCTGGCGGCTGTCACGGGTCCACGACGACGCCCGTCTTAGGGATTTTCCGATACGGCCATGAAGGGACAGTGACGGTTTTCCGCGTGACCTGGCATCCTTGGCAAGGCTCCGTGACTTCCAGGCCGTCTCAGAGCAACAAGAGATGGAGCTGGTGTCCCCCTTCAACACTCAGAAAAGCAGCGGGAGTATCTGAGGCGGGCGCGAGGGGAGACTCGCCGGGCCGAGGGTCTGTATCCTAGTACCATAAATAAAGTGCACCGTGAGTGGTGGCTGTCCGGCCACCCGCCCGGCCACCCGCCCGGCCACGCAGCCGCGGCACAGAGAGAACTGCCTCCCGCCCCTCCGAGGACAGGGGGTGGTGTCTCCTTCGGCGAGTGCTGGCGCCGAGGCTTTCGTTATTGCTTTATTTCCTCAGCACGACGGAACTCTGAGCTGTCACGGAGAAGAAATACTTAGTGGGCTTGGCAGAAAGCACATCTGTCGCAAAAATCACAGAAATTGGCTGATCTTCAGTAAGTACGTGTTACAATCTCAATGATGTTTGAGGATGGCTGTTTTTCTCCTTCATTCTGATGAACTTAGGAAAACAAGTTTTTTAAAACCTCTATCAAATTGGCTCACGGGGCTTCTAGAGCAGCAGTACGGCTGTTTACGGCCGATGCAGCAGAAATGGTCGTCTTTGTCCGACAGGTTTTCCGACGCGGTGTGGGAGAGCCTCCACCTATATCACACGGCGGGAGTGCGCCGTGACACACTGGCGGGTTCCATAAACTTCTTGGAAACTCAAAAGAGCGTGTGAGAGGAAAACCGCGATGTTGTACAAAGAACTCTGCTCCATTTAGGGTTCTAGTTCAAGGGTACTATTTTGCTGCTTTCATGTAGGAAGGTATTGCCCCCCGAGCCGTCAGGCCCTCAAAGCGCTTGTATGTGTAATTGATGAAGACCCAGTCTTTGTTCTTGTAGTCAGTCTCGGGGTGATTACTTGTAGCCACTGGGAAAGAAATAGATGCGAGAGTTGATTCACGGCCTTACCCGAATGGACTACTCAGTACTGAGGACCTGACACTCTGAAGAAGATACCAGAGTTTCTATTTGGGAAGAATTTGTTTTTCACTCTGCGAGTTGTCTGCGTTTATTTGCCTATGTTCTTTGAACCTCCTACTTTTCACAGATACAAGGTTTATTTTCCCCACTCTGTCATTTCAGATTATCTAACCTTTAATTTCATAAATAAAAAGAGAGAACAAACCTTTGTGATTTACTCATCCAGATCAAACACAGGCTTGTATTCATGCTCTGTTCGACAAGGCGTCGCTGCTGCCAGCACTGGCGCTGGAAAAACCCTCATAGAACCGGAAGAACTGAGGTTCCTCTACCTGACTTGTAAACACAACCCAGAATGGGGGCGGACATAATGTACCTATAAGGCAGGAGGAGGCAGTGCTGGTGATATTACCTGTTGGCTTAAGGATGTCAGATTCTGGAAACTCATCGAAGTTTGAGGTGTCATCAATGCTTTTGATTTCGATAGATATCGCAGCGGGTCTCTCTCTGCCAAGAACAGACACGTCAGAAATGACCGTGGTCAGTAATCACATGGATCATAGCTAATGAGGTCTTTCTCCAAAAAAGCCCCCAGGTCAGGGCACCCGGTGGCTCAGTCGGTGAAGTGTCCGACTCTTGGTTTCAGTTCAGGTCCTCATGGTGCGTGGGTTTGAGCCCGCCTCGGGCTCTGCTCTGAGCCCGGTTGGGATTCTCTCTTCCTCACTCTCTGCCCCTCTCCCACTTGTGTTGGCTCGCTTGCTCTCAAAATAAACTTAAAAAGCCCCCTGGTCTGACCTGGGAAGACTACCTGCTCGCAGGGAGCGCTGACTTTCTCTGAGAAGCCTGGGACACTGCCACGCCGCCTGACCCACCCAAACAAAATGAAAAAATACAAGTAACAATTATTCACAGCTGGGAAGAAAGACAAAAACAATGAGGAAAAATTAAAATCTAAACTGAATGCACTCCCCTCACGGCCTGCCCTGTCTATAAAAAGAGCAACTAACCTTCTGGGTGCTCCCTCATGAGACGCTCTGCGGGTCCTTCTACCAGAGCTTGTCAACAAATAAAGAAGCTGAGGCAGAGGGAAAACTCACAAGAATGCAAATCCTAACACAATGAAACATGACCTGTCTCCACCTTCTGTTTGGCAACCCACCAAGGTGAGTATAAGGCCCGGACAGTGGCAGGCGGTGCTGGACTTGCTGCCACTGGCTGTGGTCCACGACCGCCACCGTGGCCACCTCCATCCACCTCCCACCCCACCCCCTCCCCCTTCCCCTCCTTTCTTCTGCATCTCCCTGTGGGCGGGCAGCCCTGCTGGTGGCCCCCATTACTAGAGAAGTTGGTGGGTTCTCAGTAAGAGCAAGGGCAACGTGCTTCTCGGGTGCTCCCTTCACCATGAAACCCGAAGTTCACTGCACTCTGGACATAACTGCTGGCCTCCCCATATCCCGTGGCCCATGGCTGACAGGAAGCCCCAGCTCCCAATCCTCACCATGAACAAAAAGTAAGGAGAGACCCTGAATCTCTGAGAAGCTCTCTTCCCTTACACAGCTTACCGATGATAGTGTTTCTAAATTAGTATTAAGCTAATTACAGACTTTCTGAAATAATCCCGAAAACTTTATGGATATACCTGATATGTTCCCAGTCAACGCCTTCAAAAAAAGAGTTACTCTTGATTTCCTCTACTCCAGGGGCTCCAATTCTATGTTCCCACTCACAGCAGAATCTGGAAAACACAGAGGCCTTTCAGCATACCTCAAGTAATCTCTTCAGAACAACTCTCCCCCCGCCCCCCCCTTTTTTTTAAACAGAGGAATGGGAGAGAGCAGGGGGCAGACCCAGGTAATGATTTAAATTAAAAAAAAAAAAATGAATTCACTCATGTCAAAAAGCCTGGGTGAGAGGCTGGGGTAGATGTTCTCTAATACCTCAAAATTAGATCCTTGGCTTTCTCAGAAATCGGCACTTCTGGAGGAAAAGTCAAAGTTTCTTTCCAGTTCATCACCTTCTTGTATGTTTCTTGCGGGGTCTCAGAACAGAACGGTGGGTAGCCTGTGATAAAAAAGGCACTTGGGAGCTTTTACATCCCAGAACTTTGAATCTGCTTGAGAGTATCCTCAACATGATTCTATGTATCTTCAACCCTCCATGACACGCACAGGATTTCCACTCATTCCAGAAAACATCTGAACTAATTTCTCATTCTCCCTCAAGCTCCTAAACCCAAAACGAATTTGTGCTTCGGCACCACAAAGGAGCCAGCGCCCAGCTGAAGCTGGGAAGAGAGGGGAGGACAAACAGCGCGAGGCACACGTGGAAATCCCTGTGTCCGAAGGAGAGAGGAAAGAATGGAACATCACTCCGTTCCAGGAATAGCCTTATCCAGGTAACGTGCCATACAACGCGGAGAAGAAAAAAACATAGGGAGGTCCTGGGTGGCTCAGTCGGTGAAGCGTCTGACTTCAGCTCAGATCATGATCTCCCAGTTGGTGGGTTTGAGCCCCACGTCAGGCTGATAGCACAGAGCCTGCTTCAGATTCTGAATTTCCCTCTCTCTCTCTGCCCCTCCCCTGCTCGCTCTCTCTCTCTCTCTCTCTCTCTCCCAAAACTAAATAAACATAAAAAGAAAAAAAACCACAGGTTTTAAAAGTGCCCCCCATACCTCTTACTGAAAACTATAAGCAAGAGGATAAACACTCGTACCAGATTACTCCACGTGCCCTCCACACAGATTACATCCGCCTGGACGGGCATCCACCCCGCGTTTCCGGAGACCACGCTGCCAGAGGCCACACTAGCCATCCACACACTCCCTCCCTCAGCACTGCCACAGTACACTTATTCTTCTAGTGTTCTCGGGCATATGGCCACCACCCCCCCGCCCCGCCGGAGTGTTCCCTAAATACATAGACACACCATTCAAATAAGAGGGAGAGAGATCGAGGATTCCATGCTTTGAAGGCTTAGAGAACGGAAGGGGACAGCAAAAAAGTAAAGAGTATGTGAGGCACGGCCCAGTTAAGGTTCCCTGCATACAATGAATGTTTACGAGATGCCAGGGACTGAAAAGAGCCGCTAGATGGAAAGGATGAAAAGTAAAAGAAAAACAGAATAAATGATCAGCAAAGCAACCGCAGGACGCCAGGAGACCAGAGAATATACTTGGCCATTTGATGGAAACTTCATGCTGAAAGACAAGAGGAGGGAAAGTGCCTAGATCACCCCTAATCGAACCAGTTGATGATCAGTATGGGCCCCTTCCCTGGCCGCTTGGAAAATGTGCTCCGAAAGCATGCGACTTACCGATGAGCATCTCGTACATGATCACGCCAAGCGACCACCAATCACAGAGCTTGTTGTACCCAGTCTGCATGAACACCTCGGGAGCAATGTAGTCAGGAGTGCCTACTGTGGAGAAAGCCTGAAACAGGTACCGCACATCAGGGACGCTCAGCAGGCCAGAGGGTGCTGAGAGTTCTGTTCTAGGGACCAAAGGTTGCAAAACACAGTCTACGGCTGCCCACAAACTGCTGGAACAGGATGGCCCTGGAGCTTACTGGAAAGCTGGATCTGCCAGAGCACTTCCAGAACGAACAGTCAAGCTTCCTCCGGGAGGTGAGAGACCGTTCCTAAATATAGCCAAAGCCCACTGCCGACCAGGACACAGGTGTCCATCTGCACTAGTGCTGGAAGTTACTGAGCCCCAGCGAGCGCCAGGCTCTGTACCTAAATGCTCATGCGCCTATTTAGTCCCGACACAGCTCAGTAAAGAGGGCTTTAGTGGCCCAACTTTGCAGATAAAAAAATTTAACTCCCCAAACAGCTTTTTTCACAGGCTCAGGACTGGTTAAGTGGCAGAGCCCAGCTGGAAAATTAAATACCTTGTCTAAATCCTCCCTCTTTCTAAATAGTTCATAGAGGAAAATTTTCTAAATTCAAGTAATCTATGTCCTATGCCAGGACTATTAATATTAGGGGGAAGTACACTCAAAGCCTCCGTTGTGCTCAGCATTTGAGGGTTTACAACACAGAAGGCTCTTATCTAAGTGCTTTTGATACTATAGAACTTCTAAAATAAAAACTTATACCTGTGTTGTCTTTGGAAAATATTTACTATGAAATACTGCAAACATACAATAAAAAAGGAAACCAGACAATACAACATACGGGTACAGACTGCCCATACTAACGAGATTAGTAATTTGCCATATTTGTTGCAGATCAATTTTTCTGAAGACACAAAACTACAGAAACAATTAAAATCAGATCCCTCCCTCCTTTCCTACTGAAGTCAAAACTACCCTGAAGTTGTTATGTGCTATGCTTGTATAAATATTTGCATAAATGGTGCAGTATTACTTCCTGAACATTTTAACTTTTTAATAAACGGTTTCCTCTGGTGCTTCATTATTCTACAACTTGCTTTAACTTAACATTATGACTGTGTGATTTATTCACGAAGCTCTGGCTTGCCCATTTCACTGCTGTGGACTAGTCCCTTATACAAATGTCACAGTGTTTTTTTAATACATTCTTCTGTTGCTTCCAGTGTTTCACTATGACAACACCTGAGTAAAATTGCTGTGACACCTCATGTGCACTACAGTGAGAATTTCTCTAGAGGATTCACCAGAAACAGTACCCCTGGGTCTTGCATTATGAACATCTCCAACTTAACCAGACATCTTCCAACTCTCCTCCAAAGGGGTTATGCCTATTTAAACATCCCCAGTGGGGAAGAGTTCCTGGTATTCCGTATTTCATCAACACTTGGCTTTGTCAGACTTTCTCATTTTTGCCAATCTGATGAACACGAAATGGGATCTTACTGTTTTAATTTGCATTTCCTTTATTTCTAGGGAGCTTGAACATGCATTCATATATTAGTTAGCCACTCAGGTCTTTTTTTCTATGAATTCCCATTCTGATTGTTTGCCCATTCGTCTTTTTGGTTGCATTATCTTTTTTTTTTTTTTATTGATTCACTGGAATTCTTTATGAATCATGGCATTAATCCCGGGATTCAGAAAATTAATCCTTTGTAGTTCTACATATTGAAAATACTTTCTCTCCCAGTGTGAGGATTATCATTTTTAAGTGATACTTGTTATATACATAAAATCTGTAATTATCAAATAATGAAGCATAATAATAAAAATGAATAAACTATAAGTTCAACCAAAGAACTGAATTATTCCCACTGTCCTCAGAGCTAAATGTCCTCTCCCTTCTGTCCCCCCGCCTCTCCTAACCTGACCTCACAGGGCAATTTTGCATATCAGTCCTCGGCTTTTAAAAAGAAATTTAATTTTACCCACATCTCTCTCTCTTCATGAGATCTTAGTTTTATTTTGGGGTTTTGTAAAAATGGTGTCATTCTACATGCAGTCTTCTATTTTTCTTCTCAATGTCTTGTTCCTAAAATTGGCCCATGATGTCACATGCAGCTGTAGTTCAACTATTTTCACTGCTGTAAAATATTCGATCCCACAATGTAACCATTTTCCTGTCTATGGACACTGGGTTATTTCCAGTTTTTTGCTATTAAAAAATGCAGTGAACATTTTTATCCATGGCTCCTGGTTCCCAAGTGAAAGTTGCTCCAGACCATTTGACTCGGAGCAGAAGTGCTGGTTTGTAGGCATACACATGAATTACAAGATAATCCCAAAGCAGTGGGACCGTGTGGCTTATCTTTTCATTTCTTTATGTCTTTCAGTATACAGAAGGGGCTTTTTCCTTTACAGTAGTAAAATCAAGTTTTATGATCTGTACTTCTTTTTTTTTTTTTTTAATGTTTTATTTATTTCTAGGAGAGAGAGAGAGAGACAGGTGAGCAGGGGAGGGTCAGAGAGAGAGGGAGTCACAGACTGAAACAGGCTCCAGGCTCTGAGCTGGCAGTCAGCACAGAGCCTGACGCGGGGCTCGAACCCACGCACCGCGAGATCATGACCTAAGCGAAAGTCGGACGCTTAACCGACTAAGCCACCCAGGCGCCCCTATGATCTGTACTTCTTTTATCTTAATATTAAAAAAAAAAAATCCTTTCTTACTCCAAGATCATGAATATACTGCCCTGTACTTTCTTCTAAAAATTTTCAAGTTTTATTTTCCATCTACAATCTATTTTTGTGTATACTGTAACGCAGAAATCCATTTTTTCCATATAAAATTGTACATTGTATTTTTCTTTTTTTACATTGCTTTCTTTTAAATACATATATTAAATAACATAAATGCCAGTTGTTTTAAAGTCTGAGGCATGGGGGTGCCTGGGTGGCTCAGTTGTTTAGACGTCCAACTCTTGATTTCAGCTCAGGTTATGGGATAGAGCCCAATGTCAGGCTCTGCGCTGACTGCCTGGAGCCTGCTTGGGATTCTCTCTCCTTTTCCCTTCTCTCTGCCCCACTCCTTGCTCACACATGCACGTATATGTGCTCTCTCAAAAAAAAAAAAAAAAAAACTTTAAATAAATAAATGAGGGGCGCCTGGGTGGCTCAGTCGGTTGAGCGTCCGACTTCGGCTCAGGTCATGATCTCGCGGTTCGTGGGTTCGAGTCCTGCGTCGGGCTCTGTGCTGACAGCTCAGAGCCTGGAGCCTGCTTCCGATTCTGTGTCTCCCTCTCTCTCTGAGCCTCCCCTATTCACACTGTCTCTCTCAAAAATAAATAAAAAACATTAAAAATTTTTTAAAATAAATAAGTAAAAATAAAATCTGAGATATGGACTGGACCCTCCTCAAGAATATTTTCATTCTAATTATAAAGGTTAAGAAACTACAGAAATCTTTCGATTTAGAAACTAGATTTATTACAGAAAAGCCAAGTGCTAAGTAAATCTTATTTGTTAAAAGATTTGTATTATAAAACCAGGGACTATGGCACCTGGTGGCTCAGTTGGTAGAGCATGTAACTCTTCATCTCAGGGTTGTGAATTCAAGTTCCACGTTGGGCAGAGATTACTTAAAAAAGCAAATATAAATATTTTAGCCCAGTGGCCAAAAGTTAAACCCTGGCTTGCTTTAAAAAAAAGTTTTAAAAAGACGAGCCCTTACCTTCCATTAGCTTCCAAAACACAGGTAAATGTCAGTTTCCCAATAATGCAGGAGCTATTGTTTAAGAAAGGTCTCTTGGGGCGCCTGGGTGGCTCAGTCGGTTGGGCGTCCGACTTCGGCTCAGGTTCAAGCCCCGCGTCGGGCTCTGTGCTGACGGCCAGCTCAGAGCCTGGAGCCTGCTTCAGATTCTGTGTCTCCCTCTCTCTCTGACCCTCCCCTGCTCATACTGTCTCTGTCTCTGTCTGTCTCTCTCTCAGAAATACATAAAACATTTAAAATTAAAAAAAAGGTCTCTTTAGTGGAGGCTCTCAACCTTCAGTATACAATAAAATCACCCAGAGTCCTTTCAAAAAATCAAATACCCAGATTATATGCCCAAAACCAACTGAATCAATCTCTGGAAGTGGGACGTAGACATTAACAGGTTCTGAAGTCCCCCAGGTGATTCTGATGTGCAGCCAAGGTTAAGATCTACTACTCTATGGAGAGACCAAATAAAAGCATCTGATCAAATTTGTTCCTGGCATTTCCTAATCCTCAACAAGCTAGGTAAACAGCTTTTCCACCACACTCAGAATTGAGACACTTAAAGAATATCAGAGTTCCTAAGGAAAGGAGACTATGATGTGACTGACTGTACCAACCTTAAGTACCCCCAAGTTAATGTTAGATAAAAGATACCAAAGATGAATTTCAGTTACCACATCTCCAGAAGTGTTTGGTTTAAGATCATGCCTCCACCAGGGCCCAAGTTTAACAAAAAGATTCATTACACTCATAGCATGGTCTGAGGCCTACCGATAGGCATCAAATAAAAAATGCAATTTCTTTTGATGCTTTCTTAAACAACCTGACAGGAATCCATTTTCACCATGACGGGCAACTACTACCAGTGACCTACTAAGTGAGTTATTAAAGATACTACAGAGAATGTTGATTCAGTGTTTTACTAAGAATAAGAAGTCTGACTGAAACACACTATTTGGCAAACCCGCCAAGTTACTGCTGTATACACCGACTAGCAGAGGTGCTGCCATTTCTAGATGATACATGTGCATGGCCACCATTCCAAGTTAGTCATCATTTTCCACAGTTGCTACTCTTGCTTTCTATGACCAACTGTTAGTTTAGCTTTACCATCATTTATTTCATTTGCTGTGGGTTTCTAGCAAAGCCTAAGTATGCGGTGATACACATTTCTATTATCTCTGGTCAATAATTTTCCATAAACTAGACACTGGGACATACAAATTGCACTTCAAATATAAATGAATGATTTGGAATAAAATTTGCCTAGACTGCAACATTTCACTGGTGAACCTCTACTATTTAAATAACTTCCAACATACTATCAAGGTAAATCCAATAATGTTACTTATTTTTAAGCTTGTAGGACATAATTGTATCTGTATATACTTCATTACTTATAAAGTAAATTATAAGCACTTCCCTTAAACTTCTCTCCAATTTTTATTACTAAGTTCTCTTTTCCACCACAAGATAGGAAAGGGTGGGACAGGTGAACTGAAGAATCTTGATGTGCCTAAGTGAATCAAAACTGTAAAAGGGTGAGAACCACTGTCTTAAAGCTCTGGGTAGGTGTTTGTAACTTGGTTTCATCTTGAGAGACCTCCAGCTTAAATGTGACCCCTTTACCACCATAAAAACAGGCAACACGCAGAATAGGAAAGGGATTGTCACCCACATAAAAGGTCAAAATGTGGTCCTCTGCTGAAAATGTCACAACCCAAACAATCCAACACTATCTTCCCTCCTTCAAGAGATTACTTTTGGCTCCACTGACATGACAGTGTCCTATCAAGATAATATTAAAAGCAAGGAATAGATGTGCTATAAACATTGTTGAATGCAAATTTATGTACCTATTTCAAAAATTTATCCATACTTGGTTTGCAGCACTTAAAAAGCCACAGATATTACTTACTAGCTGACGTCTGTTTCTTTTCCAGGTTTCTGCTTTCCTTTTGGAATTCATGTTCTGGAAAGCTAAAAGTAGAGAGAACAAGTTCTAACCAAAGTTCAAACAGGTATGTTTACTACTTTTTTAGGCTCTGGTTCAAGCCACATGAAGCCCTGAAATCTTGCTTTTCTGCCCAGACATCGGAAACTCTGATAACACTTCCAGCAAGTCTGTAAACCCCAATCTAAGGCCCTGAAGCATTAGCTCACAGAATCATAGTCATGTGGATCACGTGGCCAGGCCTTCATCAGAATTACGGGGGTATAGTTTCATCAGAAGCAAAGGTCTCAAAGTGGACCTCAGACACGGATAATTTCTCAAAACTACCATCAAGTTTCCAAGAGTAGCACTTGGTACATAATCAGAGACTCTGGAACTTATAATACATGTCTGGAGTAAGTTCTCCAGAATAAACTGTCACTGTGCCACACAGTTTCAATGGTGTGACAGGGCTGGGGTGAAAACAACACTCATAAAGATCCATCTCTTTCTGCCACAACAGAAAGAAGCACCTAGGATAAGTGTAATCTGGAGCTGGCCCCAGGATGTTTTCCTCTACTACTCTTGCTTGCCTGGCTCAGTCACCCCCAGTAACCTTCTCCGTAGAGCTCCAAAGAAGGCTCTTTGCAACATCAGCCTTAATACATTTGGTAGCACTCATCTTGCCTTGCATACAATAAACACCACAGGCACACCTGAGAAGGTATCTTCATTCTCTAGATGCATGCATGCTGGGAGAGTCTCCTAATCTGTTCTGCTCACTCTGGTTACCAGGGTAACAGCTCTCCGAGGCCCAGGTCAGAGATAAAAAGGCTAACATCACTGTTCACACTTACTGAAATCACTGGGGAGGCTGTGGTTCAGGTTCCTGTAAAATTCTGTCCTATGTGCTTTTTTCAGTCCTGTGCAAAGGCCGAAGTCAGAAAGCTTCACGTGGCCCTATGGGGAAGAGGACACAGGGGAATGGAGGAGCATCCATGAACGCGGAACAGACATTCTATTCTCTCCAGCTCCGTAGAGTACCCACTACAGTGCCACTAAGTGTGCTGTCTGTTTTTTGATTATAGAGAGAAATAAAAAATAAATTTCTAAAAGATCACCCCAAATCCGTTTACACTAATAGAAGTATTATCCTTTTTGTCCAAACATAAACTTCCCAAAATAGCTGAACTCTCCATGGCATCTAAAGATACTTTTACTACTTTTTGGGGCACCTGGGGGGCTCAGTCGGTTAAGCATCCAACTCTGGGTTACAGCTCAAGTCATGATCTCACAGTTCCTAAGTTTAAGCCCCACGTCAGGCTCCACGCTGATATGCAGAGTCTGCTTGGGATTCTCTCTCTCCCTCTCTCTTTCTGCCTCTCCCCTGCTTGTTCTCTCTCAAAATAAACTTAAAAAAATAAAATAAAGATATTCTTACTACTTCTTAAACTAATACACTCAAATATTCCTGTGTTTCTATACGGTCTTCAAAATCACCATTTTTAATGTGTATTCAAATGACTTAGTACATCACTGTTTACCTAACCGTCCTCCTAATACTGAATGTTTATTCTATGTCTAATTCCTCCCTCTCATGTAATGTGGGTTATAAGCACCCCATGATAGGGTCTGTGTCCCCAACTCTAATCACGCATGGTACAGAGGATAGTCTTAATAAACAATTGTTAATGAGTAAACAAACAAATCTTTGTTCATAGAACTTCTTTGCCTCTTGAATGGTTTCATTGCAAGGAATGAATTATTCCAAAGACAAGAGAATGAACTTTACTGCACAGTTCTTGACAAATGTTGCTATGCTGTATTTCAGTCATAAGTGTCTGACTTCATCATACTCTTCAAGGAGCACTCACACCTCCTCTGAGCCAGGCCTCATGCTTCAAATGTGTCATCCATTTCTAACTCCTAAGCCATACTTCACTGACTCAGACTCATTAAATGGCCTGCTGGTGAAATGGCAGAACCAAAGCCAGAAATCAATCCATGTTCCTTCTCCCCAGACCAGGATTACCTTACTCTCTCCAATCCCCTGATCCCATCTGGAAAATGGAGATAATGATACATTCCTGGTAGGAATGATGAGAATTAACGCACGTAAAGCTCACAGCCCAGTGCCTGGCACATAGCTAGCCCTAAGTAAGAGGCAGGTGTTCTTGGGGTGGTGAAATTTCAAGGAGATAAGGAGATAAAACCAAACATAGGGAAGAAAATCCTGATGTTCAGGGATCTACACTGCTCAAGGTCATATACTTAGAAGTGGTATGGCCAGGGACACCCGGGGGGTTCAGTCAGTTAAGCACCCGCCTCTTGGCTTCAGCTCAGGTCATGATCTCAAGGTTTGTGAGTTCAAGCCCTGCGTCAGGCTCTGTGCTGACAGTGTGGAGCCTGCTTGGGATTCTGTCTCTCTCCCTCTGTCTCTTCCCCTCCCCCTCTCTCTTCCTCTCCCCTCTTTCTCTTTCAAAATAAATAAATAAACTTAAAAAAAAAGAGGTGATGTGGCCAAAGACTTCAACATCAGTGATCTATCTATAGATCAGTGGATCCATGGATCTATCTATCCATCTTCCTTCAGGACATCCTTAGGCCTTAATATACAAACTTCTCAGCATACAGGAGGCTGCAGAAGCCCTGCTCAGATGGGCCAGTTTTGATTTTGTTTTGAAGAAACCCAGTTAGGTTTGGCCCTGTGTGTGTGTGTGTGTGTGTGTGTGTGTGTACCCATGCGTGTACATATGCATAACAAAGTAAACTGCCAAAGACAGCTTTGAGCTGCTAACCTACTACCATGTTTTTCAGATCTGCAAATAACCTGTTGTACAAGTCAAGGGACAGAGCTTAATGTACAGTTCTCAAAATTATATTTCACCTGGATGCCTCCAAGAAAGGAGGGGGTCTTAAAAAGCAGTACCTGGAGCAAATGCTATGCAAGCCTGTGTTTTCAGGGAATTCTGCAGGTATTCCAGGTATGTGGCAGGAACTCAAATCATCCACACTTTTGCTTCTAGAATCTGAGTGGCTGAACACCTAAATGAGCTTGCTTATGAGAACATTTCTCTACAAGTCTGGGCTGGCATCCTGTAGAGAGTAAATCTGCACCTCAAAGCATTCCCCACTCCTCCTCAGCTACATCGAGGTCCCAAGTTCTTGGCTTTCAATATGTTTGCTGGACCTGAACAGAGACTACAGGGTGCAATGAGACCTGCACTAAGGCATCTGGAGCACAGGACCAAGGCATGTGAACCCAACTACACAAAGCAGGCCCAGTGCTTTATTAACATACATCTGAGGGGTGCCTGGGTGGCTTAGTCGGTTAAGGATCTGACTTCGGCTCAGGCCATGATCTCACAGTTCGTGGGTTCGAGCCCCGCATCCAGCTCTGTGCTGACAGCTTAGAGCCTGGAGCCTGCTTTGGATTCTGTGTCTCCCTCTCTCTCTGACTCTCCCCTGCTTGTTTCTCTGTCTCTCAAAAATAAATAAACATTAAAAAAATTAAAAATCTATATATGAACAGAATGACATAGATACTTTTATATACATTAACATCATTTTTTAGGTTCAGAGAACATTCTAAATCTTTTTTTTTAACTTTATTTATTTACTCTTTTAATAGTTTATTGTCAAATTGGTTTCCATATAACACCCAGTACTCATCCTCACAAGTTTGTGTATTTACTTTTGAGAGAGAGAGAGAGAGAGAGCGCAAGCAGGGGAGGGGCAGAGAGAGGGAGAGACAGACTCCCAAGGAGGTACCACGCTGCCAGTACAGAGCCCGATGCGGGGCTCCATCCCACAAACTGTGAGATCATGACCTGAGCTGAGATCAAGAATTGGACACTTAGCCAACTGAGCCACCCAGGTGCCCTGGTATATACATTAACTTTTTTTTTTTTTTTTTTTTTTTTATTTCTAGGAGAGAGAGAGACAGCGTGAGCAGGGGAGGGTCAGAGAGAGAGGGAGACACAGACTCCAAAACAGGCTCCAGGCTCTGAGCTGGCAGTCAGCACAGAGCCCGACGCGGGGCTCGAACCCACAAACCGCGAGATCATGACCCAAGCGAAAGTCAGACGCTTAACCAACTAAGCCACCCAGGCGCCCCTATACATTAACATTTTAAAGGCAGAATACCAAGCTACTTTTAGGATGTTAGCTGTATATAAATTACAGACACAAACAGAGAAGGTACTGAAGCTATTGTACCAAAATACAATTGGTATTTGAATGATGGGATTATAGGTATTCTTCTTCTTTATAACTCTTTATACTGTTCAAATTTTCTACTGTGCATACATATTATTCTTATGACCAAGAAAAAAAGATATTTTTTACTTTTTTATTTTATTTTTTGATGTTATCTTTAAAAATTTTTTTTAAGAAGAAATGATGTGATAAATCTCTAGCCCTCTTGAAATAAAGTTTTTTTTTTTTAAAAGTAACACCAAAAGCTCAGGTTTTTCAAAGATAGCAAGAAAATGATCAAAAGACAACAAGATGGGCACCTGGCTGGCTCAGTCGGTGGAGTCGATTTGATCTTGAAGTTGTGAATTTGAGCCGCATATTGGGGGTAGATTACTTAAATACATAAAACTTAAAAAAAAGAAAAGAAAAATACTCAAAGAATTAAATCCACTTTTCTCCTTAAAGTTCAGTCTCAACAATAATTCTCTGTTACAGAACATAACATTCTAATTTTTTTTAACATTTATTTTTAAATGTTTATTTTTGAGAGAGAGCGCGAGCAGGGAAGGGACACAGAGAGAGGAGGGGACAGAGGATCCAGAGCAGGCTCCACACTGACAGCAGAGAGCCCGGTGTGGGGCTCAAACCCACGAACTACGAGACCGCGGCCTGAACCAATTGAGCCACCCAGGTACCCCTAAAATGTTAAAGATGGAAGTGTGACTTTGGGGCTTCTGTGGATCAATATCCTCACTTTATAGATAAGTGAGGCCTGGACAGTGGGGAGACCTGCCAAGGAGCAGCCAGAAACCTAGCAACACAGGATTCTCTTCTGAGCTGCTGTGTTTAAGAACCAAGCAACTGAACTCATCTGCACAGCTACAGAAAAGTACAGAAGCCAGTCCAGAGGTTGAGCAGGACTCTTCTTGAAGCAAAGGGCACATGATCTGGAAACTGAACTCTGGCACAGACCAGTGTTGTCATTTTTGCTTGCCTTACTTCCTGGTTGACTGGGTTCAAGAATAAGGTTGCCCAACAGAAGGGTTCCCAACAGGTGATGCATGAGTAGAGTTAATTATATACTAATTATAGTTAATTACAGGCTAGGAAAAGATGGTATCTCTGGCTTTATTATAAAATAAGCTTCTAAATCAATTTTCAGGGCACCTGGGTAGCCCATTCGGTTGGGCGTCCAATTCTTGATTTCGGCTCAGGTCATGATCTTCCAGTTCCTGAGATGGAGCCCCACATCAGGCTCTGCCTGCTTGGAATTCTCTCTGTACCCCTCTCTCTGCACCTCCCTCGCTCTGTCTCTCTCAAAATAAATAAACTTTAAATCAGTTTTCCTCTTCATCATTTTCAAAGATGTCCTTTATTTTTAGGAAGACTGTTCAAATTATAGAATCATACAACTTTCAGAGAGGGGAAGTCGCAGCAAACTTACGGATAAAAAAGGAGCAATTTATGCAAAGCAGGTCCTAACTCCCTTACTGTGATTAGCACAAGCACTGCAGGTGTTAGAGCACACGATGCTCAACAAGGAGCCTCCCCTGTGCCCCCCCCAACACACACACACACACACACACACACACACACACACTCTCTCTCTCTCTCTCTCTCTCTCTCTCTCTCTCTCTCTCTCTCTCTACCTTGCTGTCCAGGAGAAGGTTGTCTGGCTTGATGTCTCTGTGGATGAATCCAAGCTGGTGAATGGAGTCTATTGCCAATACTGTTTCTGCTATATAAAACTGAGTCTCCTCTTCTGTTAGGGTATCTTTTTTCATTAATAGAGTCATCATGTCCCCTGGAAGCAAGACACAAAGCCAACACACACACAGACACATGCACGACAATACATGAGTAAGTGCCAGTTCTCAGGTCTTCCCTATCTGCCTACATAAGGCAGTGCTAAACAGGCCGCTTTTGTGTTCCCGAAACTGACCCACACTGCCAATACGGGTGGAAATGGTAAGTAGTTTCTAATACTTCAAGGTAAAATTCACAGCCACAGAGAACAACACGCTCTTACCCTAACCTAACTAATGCTGACCACTGGGCAGAGAGTCCCATTGCACTCTGGAGAGAAAAAGGAAATTTCTCTCACACTTAAAAAAATAACTTTTTTCCTTAGAGCCATATTTTTGGACTGGGGGAAAAAGTTACTTTACTTTTTACTTTGCAAACTACCGTTTCCACATAGGTTGTACTGCCATTGTTATACAGAGAGGCTGAAATGCCAAACAACTAAATATATGAGGAGGCTGAAAACAGGTTTTCCAATTTCTATTTACACACCGCTTGAATGTAAACAAATAAAAAGGTGAGACTGAGGTAGCACAGTGTAAGTCAACAAAAGCTAAAAAGGAACTGAAAACTGCTATGTACTGGGGCGTGCAATGGTTGCCTCCCAGAAGTGCAAGGTGAACATATACCAAGATCAGCGGAGTGTTTTCTCCAGTATTATAGGTAAATAAATATACACCAATATGCTTTCTGCGACTTTGACAACACAGTATCAGTATTCTAGCAGTTAAAAGGTAAACTCTCTAGTTTTCTGCGAAGTCAAAACATAATTATTTCTGCTTAGTATCAAAATAACATAAAATGGTGGGAAAAAAAGATTCTGATCCTACAATGGTTAGACAAAAGCAAAGCAAAGCAAACATGTAGAAGTAGTTTAAAGCTAAGAGAGACAGGAAAGATTCAGTCTAGATTCCACAGAAAGTCATTTATGGTCAGAAAACAGGGAAAAGAGAAAGAAAGCTCTGATTTCAATAGAATGTCATGCTGTCTTTTGAATTTCACTTATAACCTTGGGGGAATTCTTTTGTATTCTTAGAGAAAAGTGGACATTTTACACTCAGGCAAAAAATAAACCATTTATGGGGCACCTGGGTGGCTCAGTCGGTTGAGCATCCAGCTTCGGCTCAGGTCATGATCTCACGGTTCGTGGGTTCGAGCCCAGCATCAGGCTCTGTGCTGACAGCTAGCTCAGAGCCTGGAGCCTGCTTCGGATTCTGTGTCTCCCTCTTTCTCTCTCTGACCCTCCCCTGCTCATGCTGTCTCTCTCTCTCTCTCTCTCAGAAATAAAGTTTTTTTAAAAATTAAAAAAAAATTAAACCATTTATCAAAATTGCTCTCTTTCTTGACCCAGGACGTGAAAAGCAGGATTCCCCAATCACTCCTGGCAGCTCCATACTCAACCTGGAGGCACACTAGAGACGGGAGGGGAGGGGGGAGGATGGGGAGAAACATGGGCCAGCTAGAGGGCAGCTGTGTGGCCTCAGCACCGTGGCCCAGGAGGGCAGCCAATGGTCCCACCTGTGCGAGTTCGCCCAGATGGTCAGAGAGCTCAAGCCAGACACTCTCTGGCTCTGCAGTCCGGCTCCATCGAGGACGAATGGCGGGCTCCAGGACACAGGAGAAGCTACAGAAGAGGGGGCGCATAAAGCTTGAGGAGACCCGTGTCAAGGGTCTGGTGACTGAGCTGCTTCTTACTCCTACTTATGAACTAGAATCTAAATGTTAAAAAATTTCTCCTCATTCTACCGAATGCTTCCCTAACTTTCACCAATTGTTCATAAAAAATGGGTGACCCTAGATCTAAATAAAAGTTGTCACAAGATCAAAATATTATGCCAGTTACGTTTGCTTTGCTACAGAACCAAAATGAGAAAAAGGTTTTTTCTTCCCCACCAGAGTGGCTCGCAGCTCATCTGCTCACTGGCAAACAGACTGTGTCCCCAGAACAGATGGTATTTTCTGTGACGGGTTTACTCTGGAGCAGTCTTAGGAGATACACTGCTGAGTTACGTAAAACTTGAAATCTCAGAAAGGAGAAACTGATTCTGGCTACTAACATAGGTAATAAGAAATTCACTCCTTATTAATATAAGTTATGCCGAAAGATAATAAAAGTTGAAGCAAAGATCGTAATAGCTTCAATCTGGTCATTTGGGTAACTGATTATACGTGATTCCCACTGACAGGAGAGCAGGCAGAGTCCCTATTTTATTCCTATCTGTTTAAAAAGAAAAATAAAAGAAAGAAATGTCCATCTGAAATCATGAGAATGAATGAGAAGGTTACTTTTATGGCACTAAGAAGTGTAGAAGGGCACCCCAGCACAAGACAGGTTACTGACCTCCTTTACAGACCTAAAAAAGATATAGAAAGCAACTCTGTGAGCACGATTAAAAGCAGAAAGGAGGGTTAATTGATGTGAGAGAGAAACCACAGAACAAAAAGGAAAAATTGACCTTTCATCGTCAAGTAATTACCTCCAGGCAGGAACTCCATGATTAGGTAGAGGTTTAGCTTATCCTGAAAACTATAGAACATTTTCACAACCCACAAACTGTCTGCCTCCACTAGAATGTCACGCTCCGCACGGATGTGGCCAACCTGGAGGTATACGCATTTGATTAATGACAAGCCTTGCTCTGCTCTATTAGACTGCATATTTGTTATACAATTTAAGTACTGTTTGAGTATTCAACGGTGATGATGCAAAAGGTCTAATTTATGCTTAGGCAAACCTGTGAACTCAAAATTGACAACACTGGACTTGAAGGCATTCAGTCATGAACACTTGAGTGATGAAAAGCTTAACAAATAACATGAATGGCTGTAATGCAAACGGCAATTTTAACAGTGCTCTCAGCTGAACCTCTGATTGATTAGAAGTACCATTCTTTTGCACATCTTTTTGTTCTAATAACCTTTTACGACAAAAATCGGTGCCCAAGACAAGACCCTCTAAACAAGTCCTGCCTTGGGTCTGCAATAGTGTCTGCAATGACAGTGACAATTCTAAAATACTGCACCACAGTACTCAGTTCGCTGCTGTGCAGAGGGTGTGCTCAATTCTTACGGAATGGAAATAGAAGAACACCTAAGAGGAGGTACCGATTCAAATTTATGATACTTCCAGCTTTCTGCTCTTACTAAAATATCTAGCCAAGGAGACCAAGTTGCCAAAAGGTCTGGGAGAACTCACAGAACTACTGGCAAAACCATATTATTTGATAATCATGTTTCATTATCAAATTTACCTTATCTACTTGAAATATGTAACAGCAATCAAAACATGGCTACGTGTTATCAAACCCTGTCCCCTCTCCTCTTACATTAAATGTCATGATATGCAAAGGTGGGTTCAACCAGGTCTACGTTTATTAAGACCCAGTCCAGTCCTTGAATAGAAGTTTTATTCTTAACATAGGAGGCAGGGCTTGGGTCCTACCCTATGTTCACAGGTAAAGATGGACGGAAGTTCACAAACTGGCACTTCCGGTTGGCAAACTCAGCCCATGACTGTTTTGTTGCATACAACGGTTCACTTATGGTTTGTTTTATTGGAATGGTTTTAGCAAAGCCAGGCACCCTCTCTCCCACTGGACACAGATCCCACCCCTCTCCCCTGTCTTACACCTAATCTGCCTCACTCTTCCCTTCAGGCCCAAGGGAAGTGTTGAGTTTACATATTTCACTTTGAAGTCTGTAGTAAAAGTCTTTGGGAAATTTTTACATAGCCTCAATGTTGCAGAAGTCTTACATTTTTACACTTTTACTTAGGGCATGAGGGTGGGAAAATGGAAGGTAAGGGTGGTAAGGAACAGTGTTATGAAATCACAAACTAACAGCATTAGCTTTTTACTCAGCTTTAATGCGGAAGCAAAGCTTTTGGGAAACACTAATGCACTTGCTCAACCGCAGCTGTGACTGTGCCCCAGTCATCACCGGACATGAAGACGGCACAAGCCAACCTGCAGCCGCCTCTGCTCTCTGGGCTCCCGGCAAGGCCTCTACCTGCTGCAGGGAGCCAAAGTAAAGGGGAGGCGGCACTATCACCATTCCATCACTCACCTTGGAAGACAGAATGGTTTGTTTGTTAAGGGGAAGGCTACAGGCCACCTGTGTACACCTTGCCCTTCTCTCCTGGGGCTGAAACAGCAACTAGGAACGTCAATATCTAGGAGTGGAGTCAGGTTAACATAGGGTAAGGGAAGGAAGAACACAGGTGCAACTCACATCAGAGCTTCCCTTTCTCTGTTCCATAAATATTTAACGGGGCGGAGTCACATGCTAGTTGCTAAACTGAGCACTAGGAAAGCAGAGATAAAAGTCCATCTTTTGTCCCCTCCTAATACTGTACTAGCATCACAATTGGAGGTTTTCCTTTTGCAAGGTAAGAGGAACATGAAAAACTAGCTACATGCGGGTCTCTTATCCTTTAAAATGTATTTTCCAGATAGCAAAATACCTACCCTACGGATCAGAATAACCACCTAAACACTCAGTGGGTGGCTTTAATTCCTGCTCAGTTTAGTAAAAGCAAAGGAGAACCTTTTCTTACGGGTAAGGAGCCTGCACCTACAAACAGTTATGCTCCAAACCTAAGCTGTCGGCCCTCCCCAGAGGTGACGGGCCTGTGCTGGTGGGCTGCCTCTCGTGTTCCAGTGCTGGCCATGCTTCCTCGAGATGGCCGAGCCAGGCAGTCTGTGACCAGCAACTTTAACTGGACCACACGGAGATCAATCCTAGGGCGCACAGTCCAGCAGCAAAGGGAGCGAACAATTAAGCCAATTCATTGCTTAAAATCCTAATTCTCACGGAAAGTTCCTCTACTTTCGTTTAGGAACACTTCAGAAAATGATTTTGAAGGCATTGGTATTTGAAAAACTGTTTTTACACCGTATATTTGAATTGTCCTCCATTACCATGTTGGGCAACTGGCACGTTGTTAGGAAGGATTAATAAGTGAAAATCATGATGTAGCCTTCTCTTCACAATTTTATTCTGAACACTAATTATTTGACAAAGAAGGTTTTGATACTTGGTTAAAACTATAGGAAGGGACGCCTGGGTGGCTCAGTTGGTTAAGTGTCTGACTTCAGCTCAGATCACGATCTCACAGTTCAAGAGTTCGAGTGCCGTGTCAGGTTCTATGCTGACAGCTTGGAGCCCGGAGCCTGCTTCAGATTCTGTGTCTCCCTCTCTCTCTGACCCTCCCCTGCTCACGCTGTCTCTCTCTCTCTCTCTCTTTCTCTCAAAAATAAGCATTAAAAAAAATTTTAAGTAATTTAAAAAAAATAATAAAGCTGTATGAAATGTCTTATAAAAATAAAACTTACTTGTGAGATACAAAACACACTGACTAACCAATACAGTTTTGCATTTTCCTTTTCAAGACTAGCTAAAACTCTTTCAGAGCCTACACCTTTACCAAAGGCTCATTTTTAGATAATACATAAATAGGACTGTTGAGCATTCTGAATAAGGTTGGTATTACCATAAACTATAGTGTCTGAAGGTTTACTGCCAGGGTATTTGATACTCAGCACTGAAACTCCTGAGAGTCTAAGTTAACGGGTAACATGTGAAAATTAAAGAGAAAATAAAAACTCCAAATTTTGATTGGCACTTAAAAGGACAGAGAAGCTTCAGTGATTACACCGCCCCTAGGGAAGCAGAAAGGACTGGATGTGGGGCCAGCCTCCATCCCTGCTCTCTCGCTCTTGTCCGAAGCTCTCCTTGCCACAGGCTCTCTCTCTGCCCTCCTGGAGCATCTGAGCCTTTGCAGGATATATGTAGGCATCACGCACTACTATCTGCTCTGAAGCAAACCGCTAAATTCAACAAGACTTACAGAAAGGTTGTGTTCTTGTGTTTAATATACTGTCCAAAATTAAAAATTTTTTTTGCACAAAGTTATTTTTGCATCTTATAAATCTATTCACAAAGGAGGTTTAGGTTTCAGAAAGTGTTCTTAATCCTTTTTTTTTTTAAAGTGTTCTTAATACTTAAAGGAGAATTTGTACTGCTCTGCCGTTTGCATTAGATTTTTTTCAAATCCAGTCAGAAAGAAGACTGGTCTGTCTTGGGTAGTAATGAGCTACTGAGAAGACCCACCTTCGGTTCACATATATGGAATGAAGCATGCTAAGACACGTTTTAGATTGCAAATTTCCAATTCTAATCCCTAAGGCTTAGTCCCAAGGTGTGTGTGTGTGTGTGTGTGTGTGTGTGTATCCACACACACAATGTCTCTCAGCATTCAGTAGGAACGTGTCACCACAGCAAGTGTGACCCCAAAAATAGGCTCCGCATGACAAGCACAGCTTGTGATCAATTGGGAGACACAAACAGCAGATGCTTCTAATAGGTTTTCAACTTTAAAAAACTGCATATAACCTAAGGCATTTTTTGTACTTTTAAAATACATGTAACTGCTTCTTTGTTAGGGAAAGAAAACTAATATTATATGTATACTCATACATGACAGTGCTAAAGAAAACTGTAATAAGAAAATACATTTCAAGTAAACAAAAGGACAGTTTTACATAATAAAAAGCTTAAAGCACACTGAAATCACTGCTACAGCTGTGGTTTACCTGCTCTTTTTCAAGCATATCTGCTTTACGGAGTATTTTCATCGCATACACATGCCCTGTATCCTTCTTCTGAACGAGTCGCACCTAAGAGTTACAAAAGAAACACCAAGTCAAAAGTTCACAATGCCAAGCTAATTAACGCTTTCATGTGTTATAGGAGGCAATTTAAACTGAAAAAGTGTTACAATTTTAATATAAACAACCAGCAATAAAAACCAGAAAAAAAAAGTGCTTTTTAACATTCCAAAATGGGTAGATTTATCATACACAGTGAAGTCAGTCCTGACAACATTCTCAGATCTCTCTTCATGTGAACACCTCTGGCTCCCTAGTTGAACAAGTCAATCTAATTTAAAACCTTCACTTTCGAACTTAAGGACTCATTATGCCATGGCACATGTCATCCACCAGCTCAGACAACCTAAGGAAGTGATTACAACAGTGTTTAAAACGAAAGCAAAAGCTTATGTGCAAGAAAAATGTCTAGACGGAAAAAACCTAACGTGTCATTAGGGAAATGGGGTTTTATGCAGTTTTCTTCTTTCTTATCTTCCAATGTTTTTACAAAGAGCAGATAACTTTGTGATGAAAAGAAATCAATGGTCTATAAACCCGAAGAGAAACTTCTTGGCAAGTCTCCACACACCCTCCCCTGCAACCCACCCCCATCCCCGCCAAGATACTTATGCTTTCTCCTCCCTGCACCTTTCTTCATGTTTTTCCTGATCGAGTCCCACGTCCCTTGCTCACTAAAGTTCTTTTAGAGGTGGTACCGTACCTTCCCCAGTCTCTAGGAGCCAACAGGGATTTTGAACACTGAGGGCTCAATTTAATCTTTCACCTGTGCCTTTGAGTTCGTACTCACATCTCCCCTAGGTACGGGTTTTTAATAACATGCTGCTCCTTTTATACAAAGTTAATGCAACTATTGCATCAGTAAGTCGTCCACTGTCAGTGTCTTCCATTAACGTGGATGACCTTACATGGGCCCATTCAAACCCTCCCCACAGACTGCCCCCAGGCCCGAGCAGGACACATCCACAAGACTAGGTGGGACAAAGCTGCAAATGCTTTCCACTTTCTACCACCACCTGTATCACCCATTTCTATAAACTGTCTCCTGGGCCCATCTTTTTAGAGCAATACCAATCTAGTGGGAAGAAATAAAGGGTGGGAATATGCTGTTAGGTTGCTCCTGGAGAGGTAGTGTGATGCTGGGAAAAGTAAGAGTTTTAAGACCAGTAACTCCTTTAAGAAACAAAACAAACAAGCAAAAGGGAAAAAAAAGAGACAGAGAGAGAGAGACAGAGAGAGAGAGAGACAGAAACCAAGAAACAGACTCTTAACTACAGAGAACAAACTCATTGCTACCAGAGGGGAGGTAGGTGGGAGAGTGGGGGAAATAGGGGGTTAGGATTAAGGTCATCATGAGCACTGGATGATTAAAGTGAAAACTTAAAAAAAAAAAAAAAAAAAGGATTAGGAACTCCTGGGCCTAACTTCTGGTACTGCTGCTCAATGACTATGTGAAAATGGAGCACTACATAGCCTCTCTGAGTCTTAATTCCACAATCTATAAATTGAGATACTGTCATGATTATAGGAGAGAAACTCAGTAAATAATACTGATTTCCTTCTACCTTTCAACTCTCCCTCTAGATCGATACTTAAAGCGTCAACATCACCTCTGGCAAAACAGAAGAACCAATGGAGATGTGGGACAGTGGAGGAGGAAAGGACAGACAGCAGTTACCAGGTGGGGCTGGCACGTCTGACCCACCCGCCCCATACTTCCGGTTCTATCAACAATCATGAGCATGTCAGCAGCTCCACAGTCCTGTGGTATTTCTGTATCTTATCTGATAAGTAGCTGTGGTTTTTACCTCACCGAATGCTCCTCTGCCTATTACTTTTAAGGACTCAAAATCTTCCAATCCAAGTCTTGTTCTCTTCAACCGAAGAAACTCTGTTTCCTTCCGAGCATGCGCAGACCTCCTCAGTCGTTTCTATCGTTTAAATAAAGAGGGGGAGAGGAGGGAAAGGGAGGAGCTGAATTCCTGCAAGTCCCCAGGGCTCTGATTTGTGACTGGGAGGCAGGGCCCGCTGGCCTGAGCATAACCTTCTGACAGTGAGGGCCTCACAGAAGAACACTAAAGAGGCCACTCCTCCCCTCCCAGCCCCCTCCGGTAACCAAACCACACTGAGCACCGGGTGCCTCCTGTGGGGACTCTGAGTAACCTACTTCACGAATCAATTATTCTAACTTTTCTCATGAAGGGAGAATAAACAATACTTTCCTTTAAACTTTTTTATATAAAATCAAAGTGTGGGTTTGTTTGTTTGTTTGTTTGTTTTTTTAACACATTTGAGTTCATTTTATGCTCTATAATTCCAACAAGACTTTGGTATCTTTCACCATTTTCCTGGATTCTATGATTCATTCCTATTTTTGAAAGCTTTCCACTGTCATTTCAGTTCCTTGCACAGTTTCTTAACTGTATTTTTTCCTACCATGTCTATAGGCCCAGGGGGGAAAGGGCTGATTTGAGAGGTATTTTGCCTTGATAATGATTTCACACATCTGCACCACATCTGTGGAGATCGTGCCATGATTTCTGTAAATATGCTACAATTTGCTTTTTTAAATTTTAATTTGCTCTCATCTCTTTCTTTTCTCGGAATTCTAAATCTAATTAATTTATTACAACGGGGCCTAAATAAGACTTCCTCTCCCAGGTACTCAGTAATTAATTTCTCCGTCTGCATGAACACCTAAATCCAGAAGTGCACCGGCCCTCGGAAGTCCGTCTGCTACTAAGCAAGACCTTTTCCCGACGCACCAAGGCTAACAATTTGCTGGATAAGACTTGCCATGTTGGGTTTCAAGGAAAAACTTCCCAATATCAATTACCTCTTCGTCCTTTAGGCCTTCTTCTTCCATCACTTTTTCTAACTTCTTTTGTCTAAAAACAAATAAAGATATTTGAAATAACATTTGAATAACTTTCTGAAAAAGCCTATACAAAGACAGGGGTTTTCCTATAATGATAAAAACAGGTACATTTCAAAATGCCTCATTAAAACAGCAAATTACAGTTACTAAGACAAGTGAAAAGATTCCCACCCTTTGTGTGTTCTACCTTTTGAAAAAGATTATATAAGATGTTAATGCAACAAAGAATCTTATTTCAAAACGAAAAGTTCTCTCTCTCTCTTTTTTTTTTGGTTATTTCCTTCTTAACAAACCACAAAACAGCTGGTGTTTGATAACCTCTTCTATCAGGGTGTTTCTCTCTCTCTCCCAGACTGGTATCTACTTCCTTTATTTTTACATCCTCCTCCTCCTCCCTGCCAAAAGCAAAGAGCAATAAACACTAGTAAAGGCAGAATTGGAGGTTCAGGGTGGCAGGGAGGAATGGGAATGGTCAAAGCAGGTGATTGACTCTAAATCCTTGGGAGCATTAAACTTTAAAAACTACATACAAGAATATTTTTGACCTACAGTTTCAGAGTTAAACGAGAAAAACTTCCTTAAAACCAATTCCACGCAACCTTTATTTATTCTGCATATAATAAATGAAAGCACATGGGCTGGGATCTCTGTCACTTATCAGCTTTCCAGATAGCAGGCAGTGTGAGCAGGACAGGGAAGAATAAAAGGCCGGAGTACACACAGCAGCAGCATGTAGTCAAATGCAGGGGGGGGCGGCCCACAACACTTCAAATGCCACACTTGAAATGCCAGTCTGTAGACAGCTAAGAACTGCAGAGGGAGGCCTGTGTATAAAGGAGTGATGTGATGAGGTTTCTATTTTAAAATGATAGGCAGCAGTAATGAGCTGATGGGCTGGCAGGGAAAGCAACTGACAAAGACTGAGGCAGACTGAAAGCTCTAGTGATGATTCAGACAAGCAGTAAAGATCTGGAATGAAGGCTGGAAACCCAGAATGAAGTGAACAGGGCTACTGCAAAGGTGACCAACTGGCAGTAGGAGTCAAAGGAAAAATCTTAGAATTTCTTGTGTGGGAGGATAATGACACCAGGTACTAAGGTAGGAAACACAGAGAACGGACCATGGGGAAGACAATGGGTTTTATTTTGGTCAATAAAGAATTATTGCAATAACAGTAATTAGTTTAAATCAGTATCATGTTAGAAATCATATTATGCATCCATAGGATCAGATGACATCACGAATTCATGTCCAAGCTCTCAGGAAGCGAAAAGATCTACTCTAACCCTGATGGGGGTGGGGGGTGGGGAAGCATCTGCATGGTTCCTAGTCTGCCCACTTCTCTGAGTTTCCGGAACATTTTGGGGTATTCATCAATGTGTGCACACGTACTGGAGGGAGAGGCTGTACTATTGGCACTTTCAGGAGTGTAAATTAATTCCATTTCAGTGGTTAAATAGTTGAAGTAGAGAAGAATAAAAAGACTCAAAGATACCATCCCAGCAAGAACTATAACCTCCTGACCATGGTCAGCTCTTATTGTGCCTTCAGTATCAAACACCATCATACTTTCTGACTACATTTTTTTGAATGACCACACCAGGCTAGTCTAGAAGTCCAATGTACTATCATACAACGTGTGTCCCAGAGATGGCTGCTTCTGACTCTCTGTGTTTTTTTTTTTTTTTTTTTTTTTTTTTTTGGGAGAGAGAGGAAGGGAGAGAAAGGCAGAAGGAGAGACAGAATCTTAAGTAGGCTCCACGCTGGGCGTGAAATCACGACCTAAGCCCAAATCAAGAGTCCGATGCTAACAGTCTGAGCCACCCAGGCACGCCTGCTTCCTACTATATTTTAAATCTCGATTCAAACTAAGAAGTTTTCCATAGCTTGACTGCAAGCATAATGAAATTGGTTTCTGTGGAATATCTACCTGAGAGTAAAGTTCTCAGAATCAACTCCTTGAACACAATCAGATTCATTCATTAGAAAAAGTATCCAGAAAAAGCCCATTATGAAGAATTATCCATGCTAATGATTTATTGGGGCCAAGCCAATGAAGATCTTAAAAACCACAAAAATGGCAAACAAAGCCTGAAATGAGGCTTACAAATGACATCCTCTGTGAGATTACTGTTAACTTTGTTAGATTCATGGTGGCATTGTAATTATACAAGTAAATGGCCATATTTTTAGAGATATACCCTAACGTATGTAAGAAGTGACAGATGTTTAAATTTTGCTTTAAAGCACAACTGCAAGAAAACACAGAATGGAACAGATGAAACAAATTTAACAAAATCTTGATGATTATTGGATCTGAATATATGGAGCTCCTTCTATATGTGTTTAAAAGCGTTCATGATGAAAAAGAAAAACAGGCCCCTCCACTGGTGTGTCTCTGGTGGAAAGAGCCAGTTTAGCTTACACTCCAGCCTTGGGTGAAGCTACTCTTCCACTCAACTGCAATATTCCAGAGCAGAACACGGGAGAGAGACTGGCCACTTACAGTTGGAAGCCACACCCAACCTCGCCCCATCAAGGCTTTCTGTGAGCTCTATTTATTTGCATGTGAGTCCACTTCTCATATGAAATGGTAAGTACTTTTGAAGGCAGGGCTCATACCCGAATCCTCCTTCTCCACTAAGAACAGTGCCTTGTACACAGCAACTTCATAAAATGTATGTTGCCGAATGGGAGGAAAAGATCAAAGTGTGTATCAATGTGCACACACATTCATGACTGCATGTAATTAGCCCCTTTTGCTAACCTTAATTTAAGTTCATCTCCCAGTACAGTTTGATTCAGAGGTTGCAGAAATGGGAGAAAAGAGCTAGTCCACTCTACAAGACAGCTGACTAGGCTCTATTTCTAATTTCTGTTGATGAGACATTTTACAGAAGTAAACACTACTTGTTATTTCCATGATCAAAATTGAGAAAATTCTCAAGAAATACCCTAAAAATGAATATTACAGATTTTTTAAAAATCTCAACAAACTACTTTGGCTTGACCAATATATCTAATCAGGAATTAACAATCAAAGGTCAAGATTTAGCCATCCCTGGGACTTAAATAAAACTGACACTTGCTCACTAATAATAATCACACAATACTGCAACTCAGTATCAGATCAGACCAAATGCAGACAGGGGAAAATCTGTGTAAGACTATTTAACAAGAGTAGTAGAACTTGCTGATTCTCAAAAGGTAAAATGTAGGAAAATTCTGTTTTGATTTGGGGGTGGGAGGGGAGGAAACACAATTGGGTTTTTGTGGCTTTAATTAATCCACCAAAATAGTATTTATGAAGAACAGAAACAACACAATATTTTATAAGGAAAAAATGCTGGGGCGCCTGGGTGGCTCAGTTAAGCAACTGACCTCGGCTCAGGCCATGATCTCACGGTTTGTGGGTTTGAGCTCCACATCGGGCTCTGTGCTGACAGCTCAGAGCCTGCTTCAGATCCTGTCTCCCTGTCTCCCTATCCCTCCCCCACTCACATGCTCTGTCTCTGTCTCTCTGTCTCTCAAAAATAAACATTAAAAAAATTTTTTTAATAAAACATGCCAGCTTCCTTGGTTTTGGTTTCAGGCTGCTAGAAATGATTTTTTGTATGACTACCTAGACAATAATCAGTATCTACTACACAACCAGGATCACATGAGAGAGAGAACAGAAGAAGTGCTGTTCCTGGAGAACCCTACCATCAGAGGCAAAACAAAGATTAAATAAAGAAGATGAACTTTCACTTTCTTTTTTAAAGTTTATTTATTTATTTTTGAAAGAGACAGAGACAGTGCAAGCGGAGGAAGGGCAGAGAGAGAGGGAGAGCGAGAATCCCAAGCAGGCTCCGCACTGCCAGTGCAGAGCCTAACGTGGGGCTTGAACTCATTAAACTGTGAGATCGTGACCTGAGCCGAAACCAAGAGTCGGATGAGCCACCCAGCCGCCCCTGAACTTTCACTCTTGAGTGGATTCAGTTTATAGTCTACCAACAGCATTAATAGAAGACCATCAAACAGACAATAGATGCGGGGGGGGGGGGGAGGAGTTGTTTTTAAACTGATCAGTAGAACTTGCTGTAATGTTTCCAAACCCACCCAATGTTTTCATATTCTACTTTTATACAGGAAACCATTACCAAGTGATTTTTATTCCTTCTTTAGGGTTTGGTCTCATCTCCCCTGTCAGTAAGTCCTTTGTTTCAAATATAACCTAGTGCTCAAATATACGCAAAAGGGGCATATATGTGGAAGAAACACTGGAGATTTTAAAGACATCCAGATGAGGCACATACAGTGAACATTTGTATTACAACCTGATCTCAAAATATACTAGCCCAGTACTTATTTCAAACTGCTCCTCACATGTTAGCAATATACCCATAATAAAATGTTTCTTTATCATTAATGGTCTCATATCATTAAAACTGTGCTTATTTATCACGATTCTATGACATTTTCAATCATAACATCAAAAAACTTGAAAATCATTTCTGACAGTTCTAATTGTAGTTTACTTACAATTAGGCGGTAGTAACTCCTGGCAATCAGTTTTCCTTTTATAAAGTTTAAATTTTCTAAGAATAATAAAACCTAAAATAGTCTTATCAAATTATATCAACAAACTCAAAACAAAGTATCAACTCATATCCCAAAAAAAGGGCCCTAAATAAAAAAGACTGATAAGGAACTATCTAAAATGTTCAAAGTATCTACTGCTTTTTTTAAATGAAAAATAATTATTTGATAACAAAAATTGCCAAAATCAGGGGCACCTGGTGGCTCAGTCGGTTAAGCATCAGACATCAGCTCTGGTCATGAATGATCTCACAGTTGGTGAGTTCAAGCCCTGCATCAGTATCTGTGCTGACAGCACGGAGCCTGGAGCCTGCTTCAGATTCTGTCTCCCTCTCTCTGCCCCTCGCCTGCTCACACACACACTCTCTCTCTCTCTCTCAAAAATAAACAACCATTTTTAAAAATTATTAAAAAATACTCACCAAAAAC